TGAGAACTTTCAAAGTGAGTATTCAAAGTTCCAGAAAGAATATAACATCTGACCCAATTATGGGGTGGGCTTAAAGATACAAATTCAGGGGTCACAAGCCAAAGACACAAAACTTTAGAATACAAACATTAAGACATCTAGTTTCCCCCAAATCCTTTTCATCCACTATAGAAATGGAAAATTTAAAGAATTTTCTCTATATAAAAAATTAATATGGTTTCCCAGAGTGAATCACCATTTAGTTACTCTTTATTTAATTATTAATATTACAAATAAAATTCATAGGACACTCAGAAATAAAAAGTATCTTATTTAAACATATTTACCAAACGAGATGAAAATAAAGGTTTAGACAAGATGGTATATTTTTCTTTCTTTTCTTTTCTCCCTCCCTTCTCTGTCCTTTCTCCCTCTCTCATTTAGAACTGAATGACTTTCCCCCAAATATCATTCATTACCTTCTATAGCTATTTTGCGCTCAATTGCATATTCTTTAGAGACTTGGTCTTTTAGTCTCCAGTAAGGGAGGGGGAGTTATTTTTCCATTATCATATTTCAATTGTTAGAAGGAAATGAATTTGAATTGTAGTAGCTATAATTAACTGAGGAAAGTTTAAATATATATTTAAATTACTTCTGTCCACCATAATTGTTGATATCCATGAGTCAGCACTAGCATTTTATTTTATGACAAAAAGTGCTAAATGTCAGCTCATTTTTTCGAGCCAATAATTGAAAATGATTGTTAATTTTTGCAGTAAATATGTGTGGGTTAAACTACATTTCAATTAGCAGCACAATTCAAAGACATGAAGAATAAAACAACAGCAAGTGCTCACGAACCTCCCCTCTAGATTTAGAATTGTAGTCAGCAACTTATTCCCCAGTTAAGTTTTTAATTTACATCAATTAGACAAATGAACATTGGATTCCCTGGATTATCACCCTAGTTTAAGATTCTGTTCATTTTCATTGGAAAAAAAAACTTAAAATGCTATGGTCATAGAGAGAATAAATAAGCAAATATGAATTTCATCAGAAACTTGAATTTAGAGTTATGACTTCAACTCACTTAACTGCTCCAATCAAATGCTTAAGCAGGCAATTATGCATATAGGCAGGTAATTATGTTTTTTAAAGAGAATGAATGTTTCATCAAATTCTAAATTAAAAGCAACATAGGACAAAATCAGATTCTAGAAAATTAACTCAGTGTATATATTGTGTGTGTGAGTGTTGCTCTCAAGAAAATTTCCAAAAAAAAAAAAAGTAGTGTTTCCCATTCCTATTTATTCTTAAAGGATTGTTTAACAGTGACTAGTTTAAGTAGTTCAATAGTGAACTGTTGAATACATTGTTTAGTAGTAAAGTCAGTTTACATTTGAAGACATTCTGAATAATCCTATTAAAAACTAATTCAAACAATGTGGCTCATGTTTAACTCTTGGTTATTTATCCATTAAATCTCTTTAAGTGCTTCCTTCCTTAATGCAGCTGTAGTTCAAGAGGTGGCCAGCAGTTGGCCTGCATTTCCGTGGATTTTCATGAAAGTCCAGATTTCTTTTTACAAATGTTTTATTGTAAATGTTGTATGCCTAAATAACTTTTCCATAACTTAAGAGCTTATAAAATGCTTTCAAATGGATTCAAAAGAAACACATTTTCCTTTAAAAATAAAAGCCAAGCAAAAGAAAGTCACACACACTGCTAAGATGTTCTCTGCAAAACATTGTGTTCAGCAAACCTGAAATGCCTCCAAAGGGATCAAGAACCACTTGGTTTGGAAGTAACAGTTGAGAACTGATGTCAGTTGGTTAAAATGCAGTACTGACACCAGGAGGAACGGCTGAGATACCACACACTGGGCCTTGCCTAGTCTCCCCATTCCATGTACTTGAAATGCCTTCATCTGTACCATGCAACACACAGTACACCCACCCAACAGCCTCTGTCCTGGTCCTCTGTTCTCTTTTCCTTTTATACTCTCCCCTAAAGACAGCAATCCTATTAACTATGTTTATGGTGACAACTCATAAATCTACATCTCTATTTCTGTTATATCACCTGAACTAATCGCCCATCTCCAAGTTCTGACTTAAATTTTTCCACCAGGATATGCCATCATCTTACACTCAACAAATACATATTTATTCATTTTGATTAAACTAATTCCTTTTTTCAGTTTCCTTGTCTTTGCTAATATCAAACCCATCTTTCTGATCACCAAGAATTAAAGCAAAGGAACAACTGTGGACTCCTTGGTGATTTCCATCACTCACATTCAGGTGGTTCAAGTAGCAGACTGAATTGTTCAAAGATAGCCACTACCGTATCTCCCATCCCACATGCACTTCTACAGTATGATCTTGCCACTTTGCCATCCAGTGGCACGGTCTATTTCTCTGCCCTTGAATCTGGGCCGAACTTAATACTCAATTATTACGAAAAGAATGTGGCTGAGGCGATGCCATGAGACTTCTGAGGCTAGGTCAGAACAGACCATGCAACTTCTGCCTGGCTCTCTTGGAATGCTGTCTCTGGGGGATGTAAGCTGCCCTATGAGAATTTCAACTACCCTAGGACTGCCATGCTGAGAGGCCACATGTAGCCCCAAGGAGGCCCAGTCTTCTGGCTAACCCACTAAGGTGCTATAAATGTGAATAAAGCTGTCTTGGACCCTCCTGACCAGCTCATTTGCCAACTGTATGCCACCAACTAAACTCAGTAAAATCCCTGAGGAGAACCACCCAGTTGAATAATCCATAGTTCATGAGACATAAAATCATGAAGTATAAAACATGCCCATAGCTTTCCTTCTATGCATTCAATACGTCATGTGTGGAATTGTCTGAATGTCAACTGAGATGCCACTTCTTTACCTCCACCCCCAGAGCCACCATCACAGAGGCAGCTGTGGTCACCCCAAATCTATAAATGATTGCAGGATTCTCCCCACTACAATCTGTATACAATGTACATACAATCTATATAACCTAAAACTTCTAGCCAAAAACTACATTATACACCAACATCACAACCAACATCAATGTACTAATGTTCCACATTTGTAGAACATTTTACAATGCAAAAGGGTCTTCATAAATATCTATTTTATTTGATCAATACAACAAAAGTCAGAGAGACCTGTAAATAGAGCAAATATCCTTTTCCTTACTATAGAGATGAAGAGGTCAGAGGCTAAAAAGGTTAATTTTCACACAAGCTCATTGTCAATAAATGGGATGAATATAAACAGAACTAAGAGCTTGTATCATATACTACTGTTCTTTCTGTATTCTGCAATGCTTCCCCTCCTATTATTTATTTCAGATAAAAAACATTCAGTGTCTCCATCCCTACTACCTACTTTATAGATACCCATAATTTGGTCTCAATCTATCCAGTTGCATGATATTGCTTAGTAAACTCCTTTGTCACCACCATTACAATAAGGCAGGCAATAAATAGTCACATAATATGCCATGCTGATTCTAGCCTCTAAACACTTGCTCACAAAGTTTCCTCCTTTCTGCTCCTACCTAGTTAAACCTTACTCATCCATTAGCACTAATTCTACCTCTTCCATTAAGCCCTACCAGCCTATCTCTGCTGCATTCTCTCTCTTATATCCCTATAGAACTTACACATTTTACCTCAATATTGGTAATTATACTGGATTGTTTATCTTATTCAAATGTGCTGGTCTCATTTTCCAAGCTGGTATTTAGCTAACGTACATGCGTAAATACAGTGATGTTGGATGCTTATAGCCAATGTCTGTTCTGACCAGCTGGTACCCATGACATACCATCTGTGACATATGTTCAGTTTCATCCTGCTTATTTCCCAAACTAAAGCATAAGCTCTTTGAGAACAGGAACTCTGTCATATAAAGAAGTATTATATTTATATCCTCTAAACCAAACACAGTACTAAGCACATAACTAGTGTTCAACATACATTTATTAATTTATTTTAAGACAGCAAATTGTGTTGTGTTGTGGGAAAAGATTCTATTAAGTCATGTCTATACTGGAAAGAAAAAGTTGAAAAGGTAATAAAATATCTTCTAAATTAGTAGTTTAATGTCAGGAACATTTTTTCAGTGTATCATTTAAAGATATTCTGCGTAGTCCATAACTGCCAAAATGTTTTATAAATATTTTTACCAGGTGTGTGAAAAAAATGTGTCAAAAAATATTCAAGGAGTATCTAACAACCCAAAATAAAATGTTTGCTGAGGCTACAAGGCTGGCAGAACTCTTCTTCATTTCAAAAAGTTTCCAGGCAATGGAAATGTTTTCCTGGAAAATACTACCTTTTATTTAGAGAACACTTGCCATGAATACTTAGTCATTAAATAATTTAAGGTTTCCTCAGAAGTTCTTTGGAGGAAATCTAGTATATGAATGAATAAAATTATCATCACCTATAATGTAAAAACAAAATATAAAAAAACAAAAAACATTTGGCTAACTATATGAAATCTACCTAAGTATTCTTCCAAGTAAGGGGGGAAAATCTTTTATACTTTTTGGTCTATTTACTGCTCTTTTAAATTTTTCTGTAAGATAAAACTACAAAAAAAACCTACGAAAAAACTTCACAAATTCCTTAAGTGTTTCTCTGTCTGTAATATACACAAAACCAAAAAACTAGCGGATTTACTTTATTACACATGCCCAATAATTTTCAATGAGAATTAGTCATTTCATTCAAAGAAAAAGAAATGGTAACTTCAAAGCTATTTTTAGCAAAATCTTTGAGTTTGCTTCAAATCACCTTTCAATGGAAAGCAACTAGTTCAGACATTTCACTCAATTGTCTGCAGTAAATTATACAATGAAACCTAAGAAAACAATTTCTTCCAAGAGTTTAAAGCCAACTAAGTCTTATTCTTCTAAACATCAAAAGCCACAACTAAATTCTACTTCAAGCACATACTCGGTACATTTAGTCTTTGTAAAATGTACACAAAAGGATTATTTGTTTTGCTTTACCTGTTGAGTACTTCGGTGAGTTTCACAAAGCCAGTATAAGCCAGTTCAAATGCTCCTCTGTGCCTGGACTGTAAAAGGTGTTGTTTAAAGTGATCGCCTATTTCTTTTACCTTTAAAGCAAAATAAAACAATAAATGTTCAATTTATGCTTACATTTATAAGTGTTTCATGTTAGCAATATCATGTAGAACTCAGGGTTAGGTAGTCGTCCATCCATACACTTACTACGTGACAGGTAGCATTTTAAGCATTTTTATATCATTTAATCCTCAATAATTCACAAAATAAGTATTATTACTTCTATTTTACAATGGGGAAAATGAGGCCCAGAAAGGCCAAGTAACTTATTCAAGGTCACACAGCACTTAAGTGATAGAACCAGTACATAAACCTAGGCAATGTGGCTCCACAGTTGGCAGTCTTGAACTCCTACATTAGAACTGCCTCCCTATGCCAGCTTCACAAACCTCACTGTGCTCTTTGTTAGCACACATCATTCAACATCAACAGCCAATCACGCAATGTGACAATCCTCACACATCTATTGCAGTTAAAATACACATAAGGAGATTTACCATTTTAACCATCTTTAAGGCTAGAGTTCAGTAGCATGCAGTATATTGACACTGTTATGCAACCATCACCACCATCCATCTACAGAACACTTTTATCTTCCCAAAATGAAACTCCAATTCACAAAACAACTCCCAGTAAATATCTTCTTGAAATACACAAATGTGAATGGCAAGATTCAGCGTAAAGGACCTTCTGAAAACTGACAAGTATCACTTTGAGTCAGAACCATGGAATTTTCCAAAATGCCACCCGGCAGCTATACGTCACCTGTCTGCATGTGAGGTTAAATAAATAACAAATATGGCTACTTTAAAGAATACATGACTAACAATCAGTTATTGGTGAGTTTTTGTACACAGTTAACTGTCAAACTGTTTGGGCTGATTGTATTTTTATACCATTAGGATTTGGTGGTTATTGGCTTCAGAAAATCCAGATTTTTAAATAAAACTCATGACCAAAGCTATAATTGGCTATTTCTTGATGCAGGTCTCCTCCCAGATGACCTTATGGGGAAAGGACAAGCCCACTCAAGATGGCTCAGATATGCTTACCTAGAAACAACTCCTACCTAAGCGCAGTGACTAGAGTGGTGTTCTGAACACAGTAGAGATGATAACACTGTGTAAAGCAGTTAAATTATGTGATCATTGGCAAGTGTCTCACTTTTCTAATCTTTAAACTGGGAATAACAATACTTGGCTCATAGGTTGTGTATTAAAATGAGTTAAGAAATATAATAGCCCAGAACGCACCCATCACCTGTAATCCAACTCAGTTCAAAATGAGTTCTGTGTGGGTTTCTAAATAGAAGAAAAATAAAGACACAGTCCATACTCAAAATGTATCTGATTAAGAGAGACAATGAGACATTTAGAAAAATAAGAATCAGATACAAAACCAACCAAGAACCAGAAAAGCAGCATATAACAGAATTGTTGAAATTCTAACACTTTAATAACCCCAAGAGTGACATGTCATGTTCCTCAGCTCAAGTTTTCAGATATAGATCTAATGACAATCTTAATTTTAAATGTGTTTTAAAGGCCACATACTATTAGTTGTCAAAAGCAAGTCACAGTAAGCCTTATCATTTTATCTTCAACACGGTCATTTCAGAGCACATTCTGAACAGAATTGTCAAGCCTTAAATATAAACTGCCAAGATAGAACCAAAGCTCAACAATCCTAAAAAATGGGCACCAGGAAAACACCAGTGAGCTGACTTGTTATGGCCATTATTTCTATTAGAGAAATAAAAGATTTCTCAATAGGTGTTTCAAGCCACAGAAAATAAAAACATGAAGTAATAGAGGAGTTTCTCCAACTTCCTTATTTTTTTCTAAAATATTATTGATAATCAAAACATTCTTCAGGAAAACACAAATGTTACTGATAAAGCACTTCTTTGTGGACTTAAGAACAGCTCACAATATATTTCTTAAACAAAGATCATATTTCATTGCTTCCTCTATTCTAACCCCCATCAAAGGGGCCTAGACCAAAAAGCGTAAAACAAAATCAAAGCACTCAGAAGTGTGACCAGTGGATGGTCCTTTCAAGGGTGGACCTCAACTCTAAGTAGTCCTGGCCTCAGAAAACAGAATGGTTTGAAGGACATGAGTGAAAGAGGTAGGTAGTCTCTCCTCGCTGCATTTTGTACCAATTTCCAAATAAACCCACCTAGGAATACTCAGGCTTATTATGAATTTTTCCCTTTGAAAAGAGTATAAAATTTCTGTTAATCAAAGAGTAAATATTCCTTTAGCACACTGACAAATGCTTCGCAGATTAGCATCAGGGTAGACAGAAAAGAGCAAAACAAGATTATCTGTCCTCGACATGCTCTCAGTTCAGAGAAAACCAATGTGCTGGATGGTACCCATTAGAAGCTCAGCAGCTCCAAGAAATGCGAGATCCTTCTGTACTGACATAAACTATTAGAAGAAGCTTCATGTGCAAATGTCAAACAGGATATACCTGGGTGGACCAAAATGGAAGAGGATAACGAACATGGAAAGAGGCTGGGTGGCTAGAATGAATGAACAAACACTTTTTAAGCACCTGCTACCTGCCAGGCACTTTACTGGGTCTTTTCATATGAATGAACACAGAATATACAGGACAAGGTTAGCAAATCTGGTTAGCAAATGACCTCACAGTTTTATGCTAGAAAACAGTGGACAGGAGGGAAGGTGGGGACTTGTACCCCATTACAAAGTGCAGGGGAAGCCAGCAGGGCAGTGTGGCCTGTGAGCAGCTGGACAGGGAAATGGGGCCATGCTCACGCCCTTCCACTGATAATCAGACTACAGGGAACAGACCTGACGCAAAAAACTTAGAAAATTAATGACAATAGACAGAATCAGAAACAGAACCTTTAGATTTAACTTTAAGAATAAAAAAGTCCTCTGGAAACTCCAACTCAAAATTGTCTTTCTAGTCGATGGCACCAAAGTCCCATATACAGTTCACAGAAAACTTTCTTTGTAAAGACCTAGATGATGCCTTTACAAAATATTCTCTTAATAAACAACATAGACCTCAAGATTTCTGAAAGGGAATTAAGGTAAAAATACAACAAAAGGAACTGATTTCTATTCTTGAAACTAAATTCTAGTCCCTGTCTTTCTAAATTTAGCAGCTCCTGACTCGAACTTTTCATAAAACCTATTTCTGTAGGCAAATCAATATGCTTTCATAGATTGACAGGGCATGAATACGCACAGGGAAGTACTGCCCCTTGCCATGTCTCTAGGGATCCATACGTAACTCCCCCGGGGACTACTGCAGGGAGTGAAACGCTCATCTAGGGCATAAAACCCACAAAGGACAAATGTAAGTAAACATACTTTTTATTTTCCCTTTATCCAAACAGTATCGAGAAATACAGTAGAAACATCAAGGCTAATTCCACTCAATATAATTAGATAAGCCCAAGAGGAATTAAGTATAGGTTGGGGCATTTCTATAGAAACGCTATATAGTGGTTAAGATCTGAGAGGGCAGAGTTCAGGAACCCTACTCGGTCTCCTTACTAATACAAGCTAATTAAGCAGCACAGTTCCCCCATCTGTGAGACAGACGGGTAAAACCAGAACCTACTTCACAGGATTATTCTGGGGAAAAATGAGATTATACATATAAGCATTTAGCAGAGTACCTGGCGCAAAAGAACAAATAATAAATGACCACTTTGTTTTTATTTTGTATTATCAAGTAATAAGGCTTAATTCTAAATCTTAATTTAAAGTTTGACTTTAAGGCACAGCTACTTCTTACAATCTTAGTAATGTCAACAGGAGTTTCTAATTCCACTTTGGTTAAAAGGCACGGTTTATAAAAGTTTACACTACAGTAGAATTAATGTTTTAAATAGTGCTTTCTCTACTATAATAAATTCTTACTAACATCTGGAATTTTGTCAAAGCCTAAACATTGTTCTCTTATATAATAATAACAAAGATATCAGTTTTCTATTACTCAGACATCTTCTTCCTAGACTGTTTATTCTTTGATTTGTAGCAAATGCTTAACTGTATGACACTTTAACTGTTGTCCATCAGGCTGACCTTCTGTCTTGTATCTCCTACTATATTTCTAAGCCTGTTGAGGTCAGAGAGCCACATATCACATTTCCTTATGTTGCCACAATACCCTTGTAGTAAGACAGTCAATAAACAGGTGGCTAAATGATGTGCTTAACTTCATTTCACAGCTTAAAAATGGTAACCTGCATTCAGTACCATTCAACAAATACTTGTTCCTAATTTCTTAAAAATAAGCCTTAGCAAAGAAAATACAAAAGGCAATTTCCTGACTAATTGCCTTTAGAGTGTCTAAAGGCAATTTTAAAGACCTATGAATGCTCATAAACTCTCCCGTTTTGTAGTCCATTACGGAACATCGAAAACAGTCACAAAAGATCAGAGGAAATGTATAAACCCACTTAGCCATGTAGATCTGAAAATTACAAGAGAGTCTAAAGTAGAAGTTTAAAAAATACCTAATTTCTGCTAGTTGGTAACTATTTTTATTCATGTGATTGTGACAGTAATTACCACAAAGGGGAAAGCAGCCTGAAAATCTACCCAAGAGCTTCTTCTTAGGAATATTAGGGGAAGTATATAAATAAGCCTACAGTGATACTCCATGTAGAGGAAGTAGTTTAAAAAAATCAGTAGGCACTGGGTATCCGATGCCCATCCAATGGCAGGAGGACCGACAAAATGGACCAGGCAAAAGCTCTATGTCAGCAGAACACCCAGCCTGAAACCTGGACAGATACCAGTCAGGAAGCTGTGAGAGAAGGTTGCCTGTAGCGCTCACTCTTTAAGGGTCTCGACTTACATCCCTCAGAGCTGGTCTGATCTCTGCCTCTCATACTGGGACATTATGAAAGAACCTTTCAGCATGTGATTACCTCGCAAGAGGAAAGTCAGACATGCCTCTGAATGAACACATTTTCCTCTTGGTGAAGCTGCGGAGGATACATTGCTTCAGTGGTGATTCAGGGAAATGAATCATTTGCTAAAAAGTTCAGTAGCAAGTTGCCTGACTGTCGTGTTGCTTGCAAAAATTTGGTTGGGTATGGGAAGTAGGGAAAATTAAATTTAAAGAAAAATTAAGTGAGCAGTTCAGAACAAAGACAGCACTGTGCCGTGTCAGAACACAGGCTGGAAAGAAGAAGAATCGGGTTCCTGTCCCAGAGCTACCACAAACCGGCTTTGTGATCTTGGGCAAACCAGGTAACATCCGAGGGCTTCAGCTTCCCCTTGTACAAGGGAGCTGCAGAGTATCATCTCTGTGATCCTTCCAGCTCTAATAGTTTGAGAATACAACACTGAATACTGAGAAGTACAAATGAGCGCCGGTTTTTGTACAGCAACAAAAATCCCCAAACTGTAATCTCACTACCTGCTGGCCTATTATGAACTATAGTCATGTATATGGTAATTAAGTCATCACCCCTTTAAAAAGGGGCATAAGGACAGGCTTAAAGGAAGTGGGCTATAAAAGAAAGCCTCTCTTAACTACATTCGAGACATCTAATTACAATAGAATTACACTCGTTTTCCAAGAGTGAAGGGTGAGTGGAGAGTAAGACAAGCGTAAGGCTTAACATCAGTGTTTTCGGATGTACAAAACAGCCTCTTTCATCCACTGAGAGAAAAGCAGGTCACAGTCTTCTGGTCTTAGGAATAGTAAATCCAAATTTTCTACATTTTCCCACAAAGGGCAGCATTCTACCTACAAGTCACTTCACTGTCTCTGCTCTGCAGGTTTGTCATGGTCGCCATTACCTGAGGTGTTGACTTTTAAATTCTTAGTTTTGGCACCAGGTGCACAGAAGATCTAGTGTTGCTAGGGCAACCGTGCCCTTGGAAGGAAGGTGGACCTTGGGCATGGCCCAGACACCCCTATGTAAATTACATTCTTCTGTCATTTATATTTTTTAACTCTTAAACGTTTTGAGCACATGGGATTATTTTTTTTAATTTAAAGGAATTTCATGGAGCAAAATTTTATGTTTAAAAGAAGGACTCCTCTAGCAATATGCACAACACTAATTTCTTGGTGACTTTCGGTTTTCATTCACTAAATGCTCCTAACCTAAGGCATTTCTTTAAAGTCAGCATGATCGAGAATCAAGTTTTCCGCAGAAGGCAGAGTCTGCGTCAGCATAGTGCTGTCATACACACTTCTGATCATTCATTCGGTTGCTAACTTCTCAAACTTATACACGTGAGGTCACCACATGAACAGCAACATAGAAAAATTACTGAACTTCATGAGACTAGAAGCTAATATTTCACAGGAAAACAGGATGTTATTTTTTATTCAAGAAAACAGTCATTAGAAGAGTTCTTTGGTTTATAAGAGCCTCTCTTTGTTATTATTGCTGCTGTTCCTTTACAAACACCTCTTTTATGTTATATTAACTCCCAATGTTCATGTGGTTATCTCACGTACATTAAATTCATAAGGTTTGGGTGCTACATGAAAGGTGTCAAGGCAAAATAATTTTCACAGGAAGCTTTCAGGTCTTTCTCAGTTACAGTAAAAGCAAAGTATGTTTCCTATACTTAAAAAAAAAGAAAACACTATCCAACAAGCCCAAAACTAGATGTTTTAACTTGCCCTTGAAAAGCTGAAAAGTCAAGGGACTCTGGGATGTGTACAGTTTAGGAAGACGGTGAACATCAGAGAAGAAACCATTAGTCATGGCTGGATTCTTCAGCAACGATGTCGGCACTGGCACCACGGCCAATCGCCAGCAATGACTGCAAGCAACTCTAAGACGCTGACGCCTATTTGATTTGGAAGGGAATAAGGAACACAATGGTGCTGGCAGCACACGGCTCCCTCTGCCATTCTCCATCTCTGGGCCTTGCAACATCATTACAAGCCCAGCTGTTAGCCAGATGTAATAAGCACATGAGCCTAAGAGTGTGAGAATAAAAATATCAGCATTATTTCCACGGAAATAGTCACACAGTTATTATAGAAATAATCAGCATTAGCATACTACAATGTTTGTTTTGTCCTTAAATGTTGTAACACCCTAAGGAAAAAATTATCTTTATTTGAAAAAGGTTAAAAATGAAAGTACGTGTTATATATCTTTGCTGGAAAATGGATTTGTTGAAACCATATGGAGAGGAAGAGGGAATCAATTAAAAACAGAAATCTAATAAATCTGAAATATTTCCAAATGAAATGCTTATGGTAAGCTAATTTCTTGTAAACAGAACACTCAAGTCACTTGAACAGTCCCAGATGCTGAACAAACGTTGTGGTCTCGAAATAAAAGCCAACAGACCAAAGTGGCTACAACTTCATTGTCAATGTAGTGGGAAACCAGAGATTCCTAATCAACCGACATGGTACTGTTTTTTCCTTTGCAAAATTCAAGAAGTTTGTGGAGTTTTAGTAAACAGGCAATTTCATTTAAAATTTAAACTTAAATTTGCATGTGTTAATATTTTGTATTAAGAAATTTGAATGTGTCATATTTTAAAAGTGAGGTAAAATCTACAGTTATTTATATAACGTAGAAAAAAAGTTTCTATAAATGCCATAGTTTTTAAATGTACTGCAAGGCTGAATTCTTAAACTACCACAAACTTGCTTCAGTTGACGTGTATGATTTTATTCAAGAAATATTAAAAACTTTTTTAAAAAATTTGAGCTATAAATAAGAGGTCACAATCTGTGCTGTGACCAGAAATCAGAGCAGGTGAAGTAAACACTGACCCTACCTGCTCCTCGGTCAGTAACGCACCAGGAGGCTCTGGCACGGGCTGCGTGGGCAGGAGTTGGCACAGGGCGCCGAGCAGCAGAGAGACCTCCTTCATACTTCTCCAACAGCATACGAGCACCATCTGAGCCGTTACGTCACACGTTTTTCCTTCTTTACCTTGAAAAAAAAAATCTATTGCAACATTTGACTGTTCACATCCCAAGTTTCTTAGAACCAGCTTATTTACCATTTCTCTAAGAATAATCTGCTCACACAAACCAATTTGTCATAAATTACTTTTGCTCAGGAGAAAGTAACTAACATTTGTTAAGCATGTCCTATGACCAGGAATCATGCTAAGTCTTTTTAAAATAAATTATTTTCAAAATAAATTTAAAAATAAGTACAATATTGTTTCAAAACTTACATCTAACCTTTGGAAATTAATTAAATAAACTCTCTCTGCCAGTCAGTAATCCATAAAATATGACTATAACAAATATACTTCATTAGTTATGTGGGTGAGGGTAGCTTTTATATCAGTAAGAGTAGAATAAGACTATTTAAATCAAAATAAAGTATAGATTTGCTTTCAAAATATACTTAAATTCCATGGCAAATAAACTATAATTATCCCTACTCTCTTTTTCAAGTTTTAGAAATATTTTAAACTAACATTAAAAAATTTAAGGTATTAAATTGAAAAGGTAAGTAAACAAAACAATATTTACAATGTAATCCCACTTGTGTTTTTAAAAGCCCAATAAACTAGAAGGATAAATGTACATACACATAAACACATGGAACAGGTCTAAAAGGATACACAAAGGGAAGAAGGGAAGAAGTGGGATTAGTGAGGAGGTGAAAGATAACTTTAATTTGTTTCTAAATCATATTTACCTCCGTATTGTTTGAAACTAATATAATAAACATGTATTTGTTACTTTGTGCAATGAAGGCAAAAACCAAATTTTTACAACACAATATCCCCATCTAGTGGAGAATGTAGAAGGTGCAATAAATCACTAAGATACAGCTTCTGACAACTTTTTGTAGCATTACAGAAAATTGTAAAAAAAACAACTAATGAGAAAATAAACTGTAAGAACTTGAATTCTGGAGGCTTGGTTCCACAGGGCAGCTCACGTCTGACTGTGCAATAAGGCTGGTTTCCTTGAAGAGGCTGCTTGACTGCAAGGACACTCACCACAGACGACAGTGAAGCCCACCGTGAGAGGCCCATCCAAACCCCAGCTTCCCGCACAGCACTCCTCTTACCTCGCCTGGCCGTCGAGACAGGTTTTAGCACTCAGGGCTTTTTTGTAGCACCTTATAGACTGCACCAGGGCATACCACTTTCTGGTAAGAGTTTTTAAAATTCATTCCCCAAATAAATCATTTATAAACTCAAAAAAGACTTCATTTAAAAAAATCTTCTGTATGTATCTGCAGCCTCTGATTTAAAATAAGAAGGGCATTTTGTACATTTTTTTCTTTGTCACTGAAATGCCGATGACAATATGCTACCTTTGATTTCTGCAGAAGGATCAATATTTGGAATACTGGCATTCAAGTCCTCCAAATCAAACCTATCACGTTCCTTCAATATTTTGGCTTGATTGAAGTAATCATTAGTATCTCGTGGCTGAATCTCACTCAGAATCATCTGTAAGCGACTTGCTGACTCTGAGGGAGAGAGAGGATAGTACATAAAACTCCAGTTTCATATAACATGCCGATTTTCCTTGTAGGTATTTGCCCTCAAAAATTTTGTAGTTTTGAGCCCTGGCTGGTGTGGCTCAGTGGACTGAGTGCCAGCCTGTGAACCAAAGAGTTGTCGGTTCAATTCCCAGTCGGGCACATGCCTGGGTTGCAGGCCAGGTCCCCAGTAGAGGTCATGTGAGAGGCAACCACATACTGATGATGTTTTCTCTCCCTCTCTTTCTCCCTCTCTTCCCCTCTCTCTAAAAATAAATAAATAAAATCCTTAAAAAAAAGAAATTTGGAATTTTCAATGCTTGATAATCAGCTCTATCAGAAGTGGCTCACAGGATACATAATGTGAAATTTATTTCTATAAGGTCTTAATGACACTGAGGGTACTTTTAAAATATGACAAATATATTAAATAGGTTGAAGCAAGGACAACAAAACCACAACAGAAACTGTCCACAGGGCAAAGGCTGCCATTTCATTTAAATCGCTTTTCTTAGTGTTGAGATTTCTAAGAATATCAAATATGGTGCTCAATCATGGGAAAGAAGAGCAATAAATATTTATCAATTTTGTTTTAAGACAATGTTTTCCTGTCCGCAACATAAGTTATCAAGGTTTAAAGGGACAAAGCTTTAAAAAAATAAAAGAAACCCTACCAAAAACAAAAGCAATCTTTTATAGTCCAGGAATATCATAAAAACTCCATATTTAACTTTAAATGTATTAAGTAATATACTGCTTTCTAAGCATGATTTCCAGTCCTACAGTATTACATTGAACTTCATTTTTATTCTCCAAGCACTCACTGAATCTGAAAGTGTAAACTCCATGAAAGCAAAACTTTTTTTCTTCTAAAGATTTTTACTTATTTTTAGACAGAGGGGAGGGGAAAGAGAAAGAGAGAGAAACATCAATGTGTGGTTGCTTCTTGCATGCCCCCTGCTGGAGACCTGGCCCAAAACCCAGGCATGTGCCCTGACTGGGAATCAAACAGATGACCCTTTGGTTTGCAGGCCTGCGCTCAATCCACTGAGCCACACCAGCCAGAGCTGAAGGCAAAACTTTTATCTGTTCCCTGCTGCATGGCCAGTGCCTGGAACAGAAATTGGCTCATGGCAGAGGTTCAGTAACACGGCCTCAAGGAATAAATGGATGAATAGGTAACAAAGAGCTAGCCAGGCCCAGAGTTTTAAAGAAAATAACAAGTAGTAATCATCTAAAACCAATGAACAAATCAAAGAACAGGTATTAATTTACTATACCTATTATATACACTTATACTTTAGGTATTATGGGAAATACAAAAATCCAAACTGTATCAGGATGATTCAAACAACATCTTATATTCTCTGTGGTTTCCATCAAATTTTGCCAAAAGCAAACAAATTTTGACAGCCATGAAAAAAGTAACACTGGCCCAAAAGAAACCATGAAGACTAAGAAAAAAGAGGGATGATCAGAGTAAAATTTTAAGAAGCCTACCATTCATTTTTATGGCTTTCTGGGGAGACTTTTTTCAAGGAATTCAGAATGTATGCCAGATAACGTGGGAGAAAAGGCAGAAGAAGACAAAGACAACCAGGAAAAAAGAGAAGGCAGAATTAAGGAATCAGTGTGCCATAGACAAGTTTTTGAAATTGACAGGTATTTTTCAACATTTACAACCATAGTTTTAGCATACTCTGCAGGCCGTATCCACAATAAGGTGACAAATATTCAAGATTTCTCATCCAGAATATACAGGGCAGGGCAAAAGTAGGTTTACAGTTGTGAGTGCATGAAACAGTTTAGTCTTATATTCTTATTTATTGATTATTGTATTATTTTCTATATCAACACTGTAGACCTACTTTCGCCCCACCCTCTACTGGTACTTGCTTGCCTGATCCAAATATCAGCTATAAGACTGGGTGTGCTTTATTCTCATACACTAAGTAGAAAAAACAAGCCATCAAATTTTGATATTTAGACTATCAACCAAAATAAATAAATGTGCCTTAGAATCATGAATCTCACCAATTTTCCAAGTCATTTTTAGTGAAGAACAAAATCTAACATTTTCTATGTAAACACACACCTCCAGATTACTTAAATTATCAGTCCAAGGGATGGATTACCTTGAATGATACGTGTGTTTATGATATTTTCAGTGCATTTTTAATACAAGGCTTTCATTTGCACTTCAAAGTGCATTCGAACTTTATTTCAAGACCAAATGTAAATCTACTTCGTAGTTTTCGAGGTGTTAACAGCCGATCCCTTCGGACACACTGTAGTACAGCTATATTATTATATACCACTTAGGGCACCCCAGGCATTGAATTCAGTTCCCATCCTTTCAGGCATTGTTGATTCATTGGTTTATTCATTACAACAAATATTTATTGTATACCTATTTCTACCAGGCACTGTGCTAAGCACAAGGAGAAAAAAATAGACAAGATTCCCATTAAACTGTGACAATCCATGAAGAAGCACTCCATGGAAGTGGCGAGTGGTAAGAGACAAGGCTGGCAGAGTAGCAAGAGCCAAACCACTATAAGACCTGGTCGGAGGTCCCTAAAGTACTTTAAATAAGGGGGGTTGGGTGTGGCAGGGCACCAGGGTCCTGTAAAGGTTATGTGTAACATGATGAATTACCTGATTAGAAAAGATTACTTTGGTGCAGCAAGAATGAGATAAGAGTAGAGGTGGGGAAACCAGTTAAGAGGCCCCTGGAATAGTACAAACAAAAGAAGATAAAAGCCTGCAGTAACTGAGAAAAGCCTTCAGATAAAAAGAAAAGAGATTTGAAAGATATTTAGAGATAACACTGAAAGAATTCAGAGACAGGCTAAAAATAAGCAGCACAAGAGGTCGAGCAGTGCTAGGCTCCCGATTTACATGAACAGGCCTTTAGCAAAGACTCAGGGGCTGAGAGAAGACAGGTGAAATTGCATGCTATTAAATGGGGGCATTTTGAGAATCTCCTTCTGTTTTTTTAATTAAATGGTCTTTGCCCATTTCAGATTCTTAAAATGTTGCCTTCTCTGACTGGACCCCAACGACGGCCACATCTCTAATTTATAAACTGCCTGCTCTCCCAGTCCCAGTAGCTGATAGGCTGTGTTCTGAAATGGCAATATTATAAAACCCAATTTACTCCAGGGGAGGAAGTACCTGACTCATTACCTGGTTATTTATTTATTTACTTTGGTTATTTTGTTACACTTAAAATATTACTAAAAAGGCAGAAATATCACTAATAATAATTACTTTTCTCCCCTGTTTAGCATGTATAACTCTCCAAAGAAATGGCTAGGGAATAAATGTAAGAGGAAAGGAAAATGTATTAATTCAAGGTTTATTCCTTTGCTGACCTGAGTCAGTGTCCATCGGGACGAGGCCTTCTGGGGAAGAGCTCTGAATGACTGGAGACACCACAGCAGAGAGCCTGTAGGACACGGAGAGGAGCTTCTCCACCACAGGTCTCCACTCACTCACCAACTGCAGGCTGCTGCAACAAGGACGTCGGGGAAATTGATACGGAGAGCAAAAATCAAGTTTTGTAAACAGAAATGGAGTTACAAGAACTTGAGGTTCAACACTGTGCAATTTTTGAAACATTTAAGAAATAAAAATGTGTGTATGTGTATTTTTAAATCCCAGTTTTAATTATCTGTAAGGTCATACATTCCCTTCCCAGGATACACACTGAGAAGAGTTTAGGGCCCAGAAATAAGTGTCCAGAAAACTGTGGATACACTTACTTTAGAGGTAACTGCTGCAAAGCCTTTGTTATACAGTGAACTCGTCCATACATTGGAAATGACGCTGCTGCCTGAAGCAGAGAATTTTCAGCCTGACTTATTTCTTCCTCAAGATTTTCTAACAAGCATTTGATAACTAGAAAAAGCAAACAAACAACAAGCAATACAAGTTTAAAACCACACTTATAAATCTGTGAACAGCAAAACAGTTTCCATGAAAACACCCAGTTCAACTGATCTTTATACTAGAGATTTTGAATTAAAAAAAACCTCTTTTGAAGTTATTTAGCCTTTTATCCACTTCCAGTTACAGTAGAACTGAGTGTCGTTCCCTAATTTCCTGGACCCATTTACAGCATTCACTCCTAATCATTCCTCCTGGAATCCTCTCTTCAGGGCATTAGACCCTAGGCCCATGTACATATGCTGTGTGGACACATAGGTTTTTAATAATATATTGTGATATAAGTCATAAATGATGTAATTCACACTTTTAAAGTACACAAGTCAGTTGTCTTTGGTATATGCATATTCACAGATACATGCAATTCTCACCACAATCAAATTTAGAACCTTTTCATACTCCCTCATCAAAAAGTCCTCACCCCTTCTCAGTCACCCCCCTCCCTGCACTTTTCACCTTCCCAAGCCACAGGCAACCACGGATCTATTATCTGTCTTTACAGATTTGCCTGTTCTGGACATATCATATAACGTATTTTCAAAGTTCACCCATGTTGTAGCATGTATCAAGATTTCATTCTTGCTTACAGAAAAATAATAGTCCATTGTAATGGATATACCACATTTTGTCTGCGATCATGTGGTTCGCAGGCCTGTGCTCAATCCACTGAGCTACACCAGCCAGGGCTGTTTCCACTTTTTAATGCTGCTATGAACATTCAGGTATAAGTTTTTGCTTGTTCTCTTAAGTATGTGCCCATTATGAACTGAATGTCTGTATCCCCGCCCCCAACTCATGTTGAAGCCCTAATGTGGTGCTATTAGGAGGCAGAGCCTTTAGGAAGCAGTTAGATTTCAATGAGGTCATGAGGGTGGGACCCCACCCATTGGGTCAGTGTCCCTATAGAAGAGGAAGAGAGACCCGAGCTTTCTCCCTCTCCTCCATGTGGTGGACACAAAGCAAAAAGGCTCCTGTCTGCAAGTCAGGAAGGTTCCCACCAGGAAAGGAAGCTGCCAGCACCTTAATCTTGAACTTCCCAGCTTACAGAAGTGAAAAAGATAAATGTCTATTGTTTAAGTTATCCAGCCTATAGTGTTTTGTTATAGCAGCCTGGGCTGTCTAAGACAACACCAGAGTAGAACTGTGGAGTCGTACAGTGACGCCCTATTTAATCTTTGAGGAACTGCCAGACTGTTTTCCAAAGTGGCTGCACCATTTTACATTCCCAACAGAAGTTACGAAGGATCCACCTTCTCCACATCCTCATCAACACTTGCTATCTTTTTATTATTATTATTATTATTATTATAGTCATCCTACTGGATATGAAGTACTCCTCCCTGTGATTTTGATTTGCATTTCCCTAGTGGCTAACGATGTCGAGCATCGTTAAATGTACTTATTGTTCATATTCAACTTTTTTGCCTATTCAGATTCTTTGTCCATTTTTAAATTTGGTTACATCCTTTTAACAATGAAGTATAAAATCTCTTTATATATTCTGGATATAAATCTCTTACCAAATAAAGGATTTGCAAATATTTTTCCCATTCTGCCATTTTCTTTTCACTTTCTTGATGGTGTCCTCGATACAACAAGTTTAATGAATTCCAATTTATCTAATTTTCCTTTGTTGTTTATGTTTTGGGTATCATATCTAACAAACCACTACCTACCTCAACATCACAAAAATTCACACTCATGTTTTCTTCTAAGAGTTGCTTTCTATTTATTGCTTACATTTAGGTCTTTTGATTCATTTTTAAGCTATTTTTTGTATACAGTATGAGGTAATGGGTCCAATTTTTTCTTTACATGAGAATATCCAGTTATCCCAGAAGAGTAGATGTCTTCCCTCACCACTCAGAAGAGAATTATATTTTAAATTTTAGAACTGTGTATAACCAATAAATTATTAATATTAGGGACATATCAAGAATTCTTAAAAATCATCAGGAAAATAACAACTCCGTAGAAAACTGAGCAAAGGACATAAAAAACCATTTCACCAAAGGGGAAAAGTGAACAGCTTCTAAACACGCAAAAGGATGCTCAATTACATTAGCATTTAGAAAAAGGCAAGATTAAACCACAATGAGATACCATTTTATGCTCTACAAATTTTAAAAATCTGACAATAGCAAGTTATAGTGATAATGAGATATACCACAACTCTCATTCATAGGTGGGAGTCTAATTTGAAATTCTATCTGGCATCATCTAGTAAAGTTGAAGATACACATACCTCACAACTAGGCTATTCTACTTTTTTGTTTACTATAAACCCCAAGACACGTGCATTAGAAAAGCTGTACAAGGCCCTGGCTGGTGTTGCTCAGTGGTTGAGTGCTGGCCTGTGAATCGAATGGGCGCTGGTTGGATTCCCAGTCAGGGCACATGCCTGGGTTGCAGGCCAGGTCCCCAGTAGAGGGCATGTGAGAGGCAACCACACATTGATGTTTCCCTTTTTCTCCCTCCTTTCCCCTCTATAAAAATAAATAAATAAAATCTTTTAAATAGTTAAAAAAAAAGAAGCTGTGCAAGAATGTTCTATTCAGCATTATTTATTTAGGAAAAACAAGTCCATCAACAGACAATTCATTAATAAACTTTGATAAATGCATATAATATATATTACTATTTATATAAAATTCAAAATCATATGAAAATAAATTTGCCATGTATAATGCATAATATTTTGCCCACATTTTGAAAGGAAAAATGAGGATCACATTATACATGGGTAGTACTAATTCCGTATGTTTTTAATTCTTTTATTTATGCTCATGCATTAAAAGTGTAACTCTAGCCCTGGCTGATGTGGCTCAGTGGATTGAGTGCCAGCCTCCAACCAAAGGGTCACTGATTCGATTCCCAGTCAGGGCAAAAAAAAGATGTAACTCTAGAAAGCAACAATGACATCCATATGCAAAATAATACCCTGGAATATGGTAACTAGTTTTGTTTCTAAATATAAATAAATAAATAAATAAATAAATAAATAACTGAATTAAAAAATTTTAAACAAAAGATTTTTTTCCTAAAGTTTGGGTCAAAAACAGGGGTGCGCATTATGCAAAGCAAAATGCAGTGATATATTATTTAATGATATATACACAGGTGGTAAAACTTTGGTAAAAACACGATGAAAGGTTAACAAAAAAACACAGAAAAGTAATTATACAGGGGGTGGGAGGAGAGGGAGCTATGACAAAGGAGAGCCTTCAAAGGTATGGCTGCTGTTGTGTTTCTTAAGCTGGGTGTTATCACTTAGCTTGGGAACAAAACTTGATAAATTTTTGTATTATTACCATTTAAATCCTATATATTTAAATATTTGTTAATATTTGAAATATTTCAAAAAGTTTTAAAACTTTGGAGAAAATTTTCAACTCTATATCTAACCTCTTTTCATAAAAAAAAAAAAAAAAACCTACCTGCCCTTATTTCCAGTACAATTTCAAACTGAAGGATTTAAAACTAAGTACCTAACTCTCCAACACATATGTGTTGAAATCAGCTAACGGAGACCCTAGGTTTTAGAACTGGCTGTAAGGAAAGAGTAAAGAGCAGGGGCATGTCAGCCACGTGAAACACAAACTACAACAAAGGAACTCTCTGCTCTGCGCACAAGTAACAAAGACGATGTGGCTACAGTCAGGGTAAAATTTCTGCAGAAGAAAAAGTACATGTTTAGTACAGAGAGAGTTCAATAGCAGCTTTATTAATGTACATTTGCACATCTACTTATTTAATATGAACATCTGTTTAAAAGCAAGTGTTAGAGCTGAAGAAATGATTTGCATAAGAGAAACTCATGGTATTCTCATAAGCTGATAAACTACTATGATGGTAAACTCAAACAAAAAACCACAAGAAATGTTTAACCATTAGATATTCTAAGTAAATGAAGAATGAATGAGTAAGATACTGGTTTTGATAAATAAGAGCAAAAGGTCATTTACTCAATACAAACCCATTAATGTGTTACTTTCCACCACAGCAGCAGACTTATCTCCATCTCCACACAAAACCTGCTGAGTTAAGTAGGTGGACAGAGATGACGGCAGAGCATTCTGACAGATCAAGAAGTTCAACAGGTAGGAAGCTGTTACACAGTCATAGGGTTTGGTGCTGGTGCTGAGCGTCAGTGCTGCCTGGAATAAGCCTTGCAGTTTCTCTGAATCCTAGAATAAAGTGCAGACTCAGTAACTGTCACTAAAACATGTCTTTAACTTGAAGGAGTAATACGTACTTAAAAAGAGAGCCTGCTACATAACTGCAACTCAGTAAGAACATTAATTCCCTTTTCCCTGAATGTAGGTTAGAGTTTTTATTATACTAGTTAATGATTATTATTAATCAGTTCTAGTGATGAGGGTCTTGAAAATAATATTAGTTGGGATATTCCACATTGATAAAGCTTTTTTTAAAAAAAGTACCTTCCTTCAGCAGGAAGGTACTTTTTCCTGCCGGAATTCTGCTATGACAACAGCCAGATCATTCCCATCATTTCTATATACAGAGACCAGAGTTCTTTTGTATATCCAGGTTCTTTTACCTGGTTGGCATAGTCCTACCCTTCTCCCCTCCTTCTTCCCATAGAGCTAGTTCAAAGGAGGAAAATACAAATCCATTCAAAAACACAAATCTGCTCCTAGCAAAGCTCCATGTATACACATGGAAATTAATCAGAGAAGTCTCAGAAATTCTGCATCAGAGCTGTATAGGTAGATACACACCACACCTGTATCTACCTATATCTCACATACAAAGACAAATCCACTCACGCAGCCCCATCCTAAAAAAGACAGAACAAAGGACAATTCACTGTAACACCCATGGAAAGGCACATGGGCTGAGGACAGGGGACGTGGGTCCTAGTCCCAACTCCACGACTGACAAGGGGCATGTCCGCCATGCTGGAACCCAGTGTTTGCTCAAAAATACGGATTCGACTAGGATTATTCCACAGCTGTCTAATAGGAGAAAAAATATTATAAACTTAAATATGAATTTCATTATAGGTACACTCACAATTAATGATGTCAAATGTACTAATGTACTAATTCAAATATCAGTTAGTTGCAATTTAAATTCTTTGCCTTTTGATATGTTTAATTTTTTATGACATAAAAACCTTAAAAACAGTGTCCAAAAGCTCAACTCTAAATAGTATTTGAAAGAATTAAGCACCTAAGCCATTCTTTGTAACTAACAGTTAAGTCTCTGAATTCCTTAACTAACCAGTCAGTAAGAAACATTAATATATAGACTTTGGAATCTGAAATATTTTTGTTCTACCATCTGAGGTCAATCAAAATACAACATAAAGACCCTGGATATGTTGTTCCACAAGAAATAAGGGCAGTAGATTTTATATATATATATATCTATGTGTGTATATATGTGTGTGTGTATATAAATATATCCTTAGAGAGCTTAGGTTAGCATTCAAAAATGTTTTAAATTTAACTATATTAAAATAGTAATTATATATCAATAATATATTGATATAAGGTATACCAAAAGAAAGACTTTGGAAATATATAATTAATATTTTAAAATCTTGAATGCCTATCCTAAGATCACTTTACTAATATGCAAGCCAGACCGGATATTAGAACCATGGGAAGTGCAAGGTGCTGGGAAGAGAGTGGAGACTGGAGATGTAGTAGACCGACCAGGGAGAGAACTGTTGTTAACCTCAAGAACTCTGAGTTTCAGTCTCGGTTTAGCTACTGCTTGTAGGAAGATGAGAAACATGTTTTCTACCTCACTTAACACCCAGCTACCCAGTGTACTAAGCAGGGAGATTATCTCAAAATTTTTTGTTCAAGTTACTGTAACTGATGTATTTTGATCAAGCATTAACATGTCCAAGGAAACTGGGGAGACCACAGTTAACTGAAATGTACCAATAGTCTCGTAAACAAGAAAACCTACTGCCTCCTACACCTCCCTTTTTATCAAAACAATTAAAAAACAAAGCTCACTGATTTGGACTTTGTTTTCTCTACAACATCATTACCTCCTTCGCCATCCCCTATCCCCACCTCTGCCATCCTGCCACCCCACAACAGCAGAGGCACTAATGACAATGGAAACCGCCAGAAGTGGAAGAAAGCAGATGCAAGGAGCCTGGACAACCCACTGATAATCTACTGCTTTACACAGTAGTTTGCATGCATACACATTTATATAGGAAAAGTCCAAATACCTGCAACCAGACAACCGTTTTTGGTAACTTCATCAGAAGATCGAAGGCTAAAATTTTCACTGTTTCAAAAGTGCTGGTTAAACAACCTATTAGTGTTTGGAAATGGCCAACATCAATATCATGACTCAGCTGATACACTGTTTGAGCTTGACCTAAAAAAAAAAAAAAAAGATTGAAAAGTTCATAAAACGTAAGAGAAATCAACATTTTGAAGCTATTTGGACAAATTTATAGGAAATTTGTACAAAAATTCACACTTCATACTTTACCCATAATAACACAAAAATAATTTTTCCATTAACTTTATTTCTTAAAATGTAAAATAATAGGTATTACAGTTTTCTAAATAGGAAGGAAACACTTTTTCATTTGTTTAAATAAAAATGTTTAAAACCACTTTATTCATTTTCAAAAAGTTATATAACAAGTACCCAAGTTATTTTTTGAATAAATAAAAACCACTAAATGAAGAAATACATCTTTAGAAAATCTTCATAAAATTTCTTGATGTAGACTCCAAAGTCCTACCATGTCTTAGTTAAGCTAACACTGAATAAACAAGGTGACACAGCCCGACAGAATTCCTGGACAATGAAGATAAAAGGAGAAGCTTTTGGCCCTTTCAGGCAACAGCTCAATTTACCTACAAAGTGGAAAAATAGTCTGGCTTCACTCTCGGACACAGCAACATGCAGTGCTAGAAGACAGTGAAGCAACGCTTACGAAATCCTCAGGGAAAGAAAATATGACAAAAAATTGTGCATCAAAATATGATTCCAGTGTCAGAAATAATAGCAATATAAGTATTTTTGAATGTACAAGAAATTAAAAAAAAAAAACATTTCCCCAACTCTTCTCAAAGATGAATTTCAGCCAAACAAGAAATGAACAGAAAAACTACCACAAAAGAATGTTGTCGCTCAATTCATTTAACTCCAAGATGAACACTGAACAACTGTGGCAAATAATGGCTTTCATAGCAGAATGTGAACATTTAATAGCATTTAACAAGTTAACCCCTGATAATAACTGAAAATAGTCCTATGCTTACTTAATTTGACAAATGTTGTTCAATATAAATCAGTGAGTTTTTTATTTCATCTTATTCACAAGGTAGTATGCCCCTGTGAAATTCCTAAAGCAAGGAAATGAAGTTTCTGTCACTTCATTCACACCTCTGCTCAAATTTGCTTCTTCTAGTCAAATTTGGATACCTTTCTTTCTTTCTCTTGCCTCATTGTTCCGCTAAAACTTTCACTACAACGGGGGACAACATTAGTGCAAGTGAGCATCTGCGTCTCAGGAGAAAGGCCATCTTTCCCAGCGAGCTGGCTGTGGCTTTTCCATGAACGTTCTTTATCACACTGAGACGTTCCTTATATCCCCAGCTTGCTGAGTGTTTATCGAGATCATCATGTGTTTTCTTCCTTTGTTCTCATGTGGTACGTATCATATACTACACTATTTTTTCCTTATGTTGAACCACCCATACATTCCTGGGATTAAAGTCCACTTACTTAGCCATGATGTATAATATGTACTTTTAAAAGATTTGGTTTGTTAGCACTTTGTTAAGAATTTTTGCATTTACATTTATAAGGGAGACTAGCCTATTGTTTTCTTGTGGAATTTATCTGGCTTTAGTAGCAGGGTAATGCTGGCCTCATAGAATGAGTTAGGAAATGTTCCCTCCTGTCCAACTTTTTGGAAGAGTTTGATTAGGATTGGTGTTAATTCTTCTTTCCACATTCGGTAGAATTCACCAGTGAAGCCACTCCTGGACTCTGTTTAGAGGCTTTTGATTACCGACTCTATCTCTTTACTTGCTATTGGTCTGTTCAAATTTTCTATTTTTCTTAAGTAATTTTATGTTTCTAGAAATCTGTCCATGTCATCCAGGTTATTAATTTACTGGAAATACACTGTTCATAGCATTGTCTTACAATCGTTTTTATTTCTGTAAGCTCAGTAGAAACATCCTTACTTTCATTTTTGATTTTAGTTATTTATGCCTTTTTCCTTAGCATAGCCAAAACTTTGTCAATTTTGTTGATCTTAAAAAAAAACAAAAAAAAACCCTGAGTTTCGGTTTCACTGTTTCTGTATTGTTTTTCTACACTCCATTTCATTTATCTCCATACCCATCTTCATTATTTCCTTCCTTCTGCTAGCTGTAGGTAAGGTCTGCTCTTTTTCTAATCCCTTGAAGTATAAAGTTAGATTATTGATTCAGATCTCTTTTCTTCTTCAATGTAGGCACATACAGCTACAAATCTCCCTTTGAGCTCTGCTTTTGCCTCATCCCATAAATTTTAGTATAGTTTTGTTTTCATTCCTCTCAAAGTAGTTTCCAATGGCCCTTGTGATTGCTCCTTTACCCACTGGTTGGTGAAGAGCTCTGACACTAGCGTGTGACACAGCCAGCCTCCCAGGCCCTGTGCACCATCTCCCGCCCCTTCTTATCTTGAAATATTTCCTCACTGTTCTTATCCTCACCTGGAATTCTATGTATTGCTGAGTAATGCACTGTCTGACTCCCCTCACTAAAATCTAAGCTCCGAAATGGGGAGCACTGCATATCCTTGGCTGCATGATATATAATAAGTACTAAGTAAATATTCGCCAGACAACCCTTTAATCCAATTGTGAAATCTAGTATTCCACCATGAATACTGTGATATTTTATTCTGAGTAAGAAAGATGCATGTGGCTTATTCTTCTTGAACTAGGTAGGACGTACTTGAGGAAAAGCAGAAACCGTCTGATTAATCCCAAATCACAGACTTTCTGTAAAATAAGGCCCACATTAAAGTTCTTGAGAAAAAGATAAAGTTTCCATTTCCCATTCTGTATTTCATGACCATGCCTCTTCAGCTTCCTTTAAAGTTAATATAGTATGACTTACATCATTTGCATTACCCCCAAGTTGTTTAGTTAACATAAATACTATAATACTATAATACTAATAGTGACAATACTATGATATCAATAACTATTCAATTATGTAACTCATTCATTAGGAAGATGAATCAGGATTTTCACTTTTAAAGTACATCTAAATATATTAAACCACTCTCTCAGTTGAAAATTACCAGTATAATTCAGCCTAGTGTTATTTCCCCTATACCTAAGTGCAACTATAAGTACATTAAATGTACAGAAAACTTTTTGTTAATTGGACAAGCAATCACTTAGATAAAACTTTATTTTCTAAGTTCAGCTGTAGTACCATTAAAATTCTCTAAATTGATGGATGCTCCTATATACATTTTCTGTGGCAGTTCTAACAACTTACCACCAACTTGGTAGCTTAAAACCACAGAAATCTATTCTCTCACAGTCCTGGAAGCCAGAAGTTCAAAATCAAGGTGTTGTTAGGGCTGTGCTTACTGTGGAGGCTCAAAAGAAGAACTCATCCCTTGTCTCGTTCAGACCATGGCTTGTAGCCACATCGCTCCAGTCTCTACTATCACATCGACCCCTCTTCTTCCATGTTTCACTCTCCCTTTGCCTCTCTCTCATACCAACACTTGTGATGGCACGTAGGGCCATCCAGATCATCTGAGATTACCTCATTTTAAGATCTTAACTTAATCATGTCTACAGAGAATCTTTTTCCAAGTAAAGTTCACATTCACGAGTTCTAAGGATTTGATGTGGATACCTTCTGGAGGTCAAAATTTTTCAGCCTTCCACATCTACTTTCACGAGGTGATCAGATTTATCATGATGAGTGATGGGACAAGCCAATATTATACACTTCCTGATGTGATGTCCCGAGAAAAACATCACATCACCGAGGCAACATTCCTACCAAAAATGCATAACCTCAATGAAATCATGAGGAAACAATAAGACTGAGATATATTTTTCTAAAATGTTAATGTCACAAAATAACACACTTTCCAGATTAAGGAGGCAAAAACAGATATAACAACAAAATGCAATATATGATCTTGAACTGGTTCCTGAATTAAAGGGAAAGGATTTTTTTCTAAAAAAGGCTACCTATTGGGACACCTGGAAAAATGTGAATATAGACTATATATTAGATAACAGCATTACATCAACATTAAATTTCCTGAATTTGACATTCAGGAAAATCACTCATTCAGTGTCCTTTCATTATAACCTCGATGAGGGCAAAAATGGATTCCTGGCAGGGGCCACTGTCAGCATGGAGTCTGCAAGTTCTCCCCGTGTCTGCACAGGTTTGGTACACGTAGTCCAGTTTCCTCCCACATCCCAAAGATGTGCATGTCTGGTTAACTGGCGTGTCTGAATGGTCCCAGTCGGAATAAGTGTGGTGTGTGGGGGAGCTTGCTCCCTGAAAGGGAAAAGCATCCTACACAGGGTGGGTTCCCACCTTGTGCCTTGAGCTGTCAGGATGGGCTCAGGCCACCCAAGACCCTGACCAAAAGAAATCGGTTGGAAAATAATTATCTTACTTGTTTTTATTAATATCTCTTAAATGTATGTGTATCTCATATTTATTTCCATGTTTAATGTTAGAAGTGCTTTAGGTCTTTATTTAGAAGTTTGGTGATGTTTTTGAGGCCAAAAGTATGCTGTAGAAACTCAACTCCTGTTAATAACAATAAGCCTTTGGTAAAGTTGGTGCCCAATCAGTGCCCAATCAGTTAAGTTTTAAAAGTAAAAAAAAAAAAGTGAAATGCTGTTTCACTTACAATTGCAGCTTCCAAGAACCCATTATTGCCATTAAGTGTGAACTTTCTGTATGGCAAAATATAAACAAGCAGTAAACCTATGTAGAGGGTACATGGCTGTGTACTGAACTATTCTTTTTTTTTGTACTGAACTATTCTTGAAGCTTTGCTGTTGGTTTGAAATTTTTCAAATAAAAACTTGAAAAAAATGGCTTTCAAGCCTGGAAGCAAGCCTGTGTTAATACCAAATTACTCTCCTCCCAGCTAAAAAAGTATGCTTTGCTAAAAACTGAAACTAAAAAAAAAAAAAAATTCTAACTATAGTGTAAAGTTCCCCGATCCTCTGGCCATGCCTTTAGAAAAAGCAGCTGAGTGGGATATTTTTCTGTTTGACCACAGTCAAGAAAGACTGAGCACAGACAAGAAATGTATGTGAAAACACACATAAACTCATGTGTATCGATAAAAAGAATCATATCTTGTCAAAAAGGGAAAAAAACTCAGAGCGAAGTTAAGCAGTCGGCCTCTCTGCGTGTCCCACGGAGGAAGAAACAAAGGCCATCACTAAATCAGAATACCTGGAAACGACACCCTCTTACAGTCTTTCTGAAACCAAACCAAGACTCATGAAACGCATAACATGTAAAGGGAAACCACGTTTTAACCACAGAGACTCACTGAGGAATGTTATACATAAAACTTTTTTTTTTTTACTTTTAAAACTTAACTGATTGGGCACTGTATTAGAACATCAGCGTATAAATTGGGGCATAAGGAGAACAGTGACTCTTGTAATAATCACAGTTCCATGAAAACTGTAGTTTTGAGTTGGCGAATAATAACCACAGTTTCTCGCACTCATGTCCCTATTGACAAATTTAATTATGTACACATAAGAGTTACATAGGGAGAATAGAACCTCCCGTAAGAACCTAAAAAGACAACAAAACTCAAATTCAAGTAAAACAAAATGTTGAAAAACATGTGTTTAGGAAAGTGTTTCAAAATAAAAACACTTTCCTTCCTCAACATTATTGAAAACTTACCTTCTGGGTCAGGAAAAACTTCAGCTATTGAGCCTAAAATGGTTAAAGCTGAAAATCTCGTTGGGTAGGAAGAGCCAGGAAACAGTGCTTCAAAAAGGCTGTTGCAGATGGATGACATGAAACTCTAAAAATAAAGTACAATGAGTACAACTGAGTTAATTCACAACGGGTTATCTTCGAAGTATCACCTTTAAGAATGGAGCCTTTTCTTTTAATTAAGGGAGAAAAAAAGTTTTCTGAACAATACTGGCTGTTCAATTCCCTTGATAATTCTGACTGACACCCTTGATCATAAACTACATCATGCCTTTAATGAACTCTGTACTTATAGAGTCAATAAGTACAATTCCCGTTGTACTCCTCTCAAGAAATAAACATTTTTAGTAAAAACAACTCCATTCTGCCCTGACTTATGCTAAAGCTGTATGACTAATGACTTTCTTCACCAGAGGCATTCAGGCATCAAAGGGATGTACACATTTTAACTTTTTAAACGACCAAAGAAATATCCAATATGTACTACCCGATAAATTTGATAGATGTCAAGCTTTACACATTTGGCTATGATGACATAATTCCTGTAAAAAGTCCAAGTATTCCATTGTCTTCTGTCTGCCCCTCTGAGACTCCTGCTCTACTATTCTGTTTATACAAATAATGGAAAATTAAAACTTTCAGTAAAATGCAATTTTTTAATAAAAGCGAAGTGGAAAATACTTCATCCAGGATAAAATCTGCTTGCTCTAAGTAAAATAATAAGTTATTTTTTTCTGTGCAACATCAAAGAGAAAAATTATTAGGAAAAGTTGTGATTCTCAGGCATCTCATCACTACTATGCCCTGATGACATATATTTGTAACTGAGCAGATAAAAGCAACTCTAGTCTCAAGTGACTCTAGTAGGATCCCTGCATTCACTCCTCTGGTCAAGGACTTACAACTTCAAGGATTTATCCTGCAGGCCCTTACAGGCCCTAAGTAAGAGTTTGTTAGTTTATTATTTCTATTAAGTTTCAAAGAAATAGGGTGGCTACTGAAAATACCCTAGTTAAACTAATTTTAATTATAAATGAGTACCATAATATTCCCATTAAAGGGCAATAAGTTCATCCTTTTAGAATGATCTTACACCAATTAGTGTCATTTATATTTTTAGATACGAGTTCTTCCCCTCAACCAGACTGCAAGCACAATGAAGGCACGGACCGTGGTTTATAGTACATTTATGTCCCTAGTCCTGAGCGTACTGTCTTACACACACATACAAGAGGCTCAATATTTGCTCTGGTTACTTTTTTTAAAAAGAGTATTTATTATTATTTTTTTTTAGAGAAAGAAAGGGAGGGAGAAAGAGAGGGAGAGAAACATTAATGTGTGGTTGCGTCTTGCACTCCCCCTGCTGGGGACGTGGTCTGCAACCCAGGCATGTGCTCTGATTGGGAGTCTAATCAGTAACCCTTCGTTTGCAGGGCAGAGCTCAACCCACGGAGCCACACCAGCCAGGGCTGCTCTAGTCACTTTTAATGGCTCTTAGTGAGGTTTCCAATTACCTCGACCTAGCATTCAAAACTCTACTTGATTTACTAACTAATTTCCAACTTGCTTTTCTAACTCACTTGCCAGTACTCAATTCCTCTGTTCCTCCACGTACCCTATGCCATTCACACCTGGGGATCTACCATTCCCCAAATTCTCTCTGCCCTTTCTTAACTCTGAACCTTCACTTAAGCTGGTACTGAGGGAAAATACTACTCAGATTTTAGAGTCAAGAGCAAATCTGGATCACTGCTAACTACTGAGAGACCTTGAGGAGGTTACTCAACTTTTCCAAGCTTCAGTTCTGTCACTTTTATGTGAGGATAATAATGTCTATCTCACAGCATATAAAGCATTTTACAAATTTAAAAGTACTCTAGCTATTACTATCAGTTATTCAGTTATGCAATAACCTCCCTCACTGGACTAAGAACATCCCTTCTAGATAACAGCCTCTTCTCTTCCCCGGCACTCAGTCTGTCGGCTGGCTCTGGGCCTGCTACATACTGTGCATGACGCCCACTGTGACGGTGGTGTTCACAAGATAATGCCAAAGTCGCAACCTCCAAAGCCACAGGTGACTACAGTTGGGAGAATATATAAGAACCATGGGACTGACTCAGATTAAGACTCTAAAGACTAGATGTCAAAAAATATGTATATCCATAAGCACAACTAAGAAAACACACATACACGAAAATCCAGAACATCAATCCCCAAAATTGGTTTTGTGTTTCTAAGTACCTAATTCAGAGAAAATATCACGTTACCCTTGCAAAAAGAAAAAAAAGAGATGTGTTTTCTTAGACCACAGAAAGGCTAAAACATAACTGTTCCACACAGTTTAAGTGCTCAGTATATACTCTGATCACTTTTAATGACCCCCAGCAAGGCTCTCTGGAGTGCTTTAGAGGTTAAAAGCACTTTCTCACTTTATCCTCAAAACCAACCTTTTCACAGAGGTTACTAACCCCACTTACAGTTGAATGGATTCGTAAAGTAAGCCAACTAGTCAATAGCAAAATTAGGACTAAACCTGTGTGCTTAAAGTTTAGGTTGTACTCCTCTAATCCTCATTGTGGGATTCTACAAAAATGAAGCTGATTTCAGACTTTACATAAGAATATTCTTCCTCAGATGACCTTTTTACCTTTTAATAGAAAATTGAAACCTAGGGCCCATCTAGAATGTTTAGGGTAGGTAATATATTATGGCTCCAATGTATTAATTTATTACACTTGTTTCCCTAAATGAAATAAAATAGATGAACGCTGTCCTCTACCCGTGTCTTAGAAGAAAAATTAGAGTCTACTTCTGAGAGACTAGATTTGGAGTAAGAAACCAGTGGTGGAAAGCTCATTCTGTCCTGATGGACAGAAATTAAAGTTGTCAAGCTGAGCCCTGGCCCAGACTGGGGCTTCCATATCTGAGGTTCCACCTATCCCATTAACACAGTATCCTAAAGTCAGCCCCACTGTTTAAGCTCATTCCAAAATGGGATAAACAGGAACCCCCATAGCTGGACCAGGGGCCAGAAGCCCATCAAGCTGCTGAATATCATAGTACAATGGAAGCAGGCCCAGACATGGCCTTCTTCCACCCTAGGAAAGTGTGGAGGAGTTCAGGGCCAACAATTGCCTTTTGGTTAAAGAGCTAAATTCATCTGGCCCACAGAAACTGTAAATTACTGAAGCCAACTCATCAGTATTATTTTCCAACAGATCTGAAATCCAGCACGGATTCCACAACTCAGTCTGCCTCAAGAGAAGTACAAAAGCACCCACAGGAACACGTGCAACCCAGCCTGAAGAACGCAACAGAGAAACCCTACTTACCGAGACTTCTATTTCTCTCCCTTTAACGCACGTTCATAATAATGTTCATAATTGTTTTGGGTTTCTCACAAATCCCTATGTCCAGAAATATATCACCTACCTTATACTGCTGTAAAGAGACAGAAGGGTGTTGTTTGGTGAACTCATTCTCCGGTTCGTGTTTGGATTTATTTTGCTCCAGTTTATAAAGGACCTGAGAACTCTCCTGTATCCTACAAAACAACTTTTGAGAAAAAGAAAAATGAAGCATATGCAAGACATGTTAACCCTAAATGTCAGCCTATAAGACAAAGGAAAAACTTTCTAAATTCTTTACACTAAAACTTGAGGCAAGGAAAGTGCTGGTTTTTAAACTCTTAATGTTTACACAGTGTCTTTCAGACAGAAAATTAGCATTTATGTTTTAAAAACCAAAACCAATGTATTACTGCAAACCAGACCACAAGTCATTAAATCATAGTTCTGTTTCCTTTGGGTCAGCCTGAACCTAACTTAAGATAATATATTTACTTCTATACTCTAATATTCTTCATTCCATAAATGTGTCGCATGATTATTTCAAGGTGAATTATTCAATAATGACGGTTTCATGAGGTGGTTCAAGAAACTATAAAAATACAAGGGCATCCTTCCTTCTCTTTAAGTTTCTTAAGATAACTTACACCACAAAAACTCATCATTAGACCTTTTTTTCCTTAAAAAAAAAAAAAAAAAAACAGAGCTCTGGTTTGATTTATTACACCGAAATGACAAAACTTTTCACTCTGGACTTTGACCCCAAACGTAACTCTTCTTGGGGATCACAGTATGGCTCGCAGAAGGGCCGTGAGGGACTGCGGCACTGCGGCCCATGACCATTATTCTCGCACACTCCCAAATCGGGGATCTTTTGGTAAAACATTTCAAGGTCAAAGTTCATACTTTCCTATGCTTTCTGATGAAAAATTCTACCTTTTTAAGAAGAGAACAAATCTGTTGCCGCACTCCTGGAGACTGACTGTTAAGATTGTATGTGATGAAGAACTGAATCCACTGCATTTCTTCTGTGGAAACGATTTCTGTGCTGCGATTACTTTCACAAAGCAAGCCCAATGTATCTATCCGCACCTAAAACACACCAAGCAATAAAATGGTAGTTTTTCTTTCTTTAAAAAAAAGAGTTTATTTATTTTTAGAGGGAGGGGGACAGAGGAAGAGAGGGACAGAAACATCAATGTGGGGTCGCCTCCTGTGCACCCCACACTGGGGACCTGGCCCACAACCCAGGCATGTGCCCTGACTGGACACTTTGGTTTGCAGGCCCGCATTCAATCCACTGAGCCAAACCAGCCAGGTAAAATGTTAATTTTTCAATGAAATAAGTGAAGCCTAAACCACTTGACATATTTAATTATTTACACAGGCTACCAAAGGGTGGGGGGTGCAAATCAGTAAGCCTTTGTTTACCAATGTGTACTTCGGAAAGTTGCCCTAATCTCAAAGATTCTAAGGTCATTTTCTATAAAATTACCTTATTAAATGTGTAAATTGGGTATTTATTAAACAGTCTTAAGGATTCTTATCCCACAGTAATGGCTGACTTCATTCGCTTTCTCAGTGGCCACTCCACCCGGGACCTCGTCACTTCCCTCTCAGATCGCTGTCATGCGTGTCTAACCAGTCTCCTGCTTTCTTCTGGCTCCCACCCTGCACGCTCCCCTGTTTGCATTAACTCCACCTCACCGCTGAAAGTGGTTCCCAGTTACCAAGTGAATGAAAACCGACGCCTTCAGCCTAGGACTGGAGGCTTCCCTGACACACACAGAACACTCCACTCCTGCCAAACAACGCGTTTAATCATTCTCCAGTCCTGTCCGTCATTCCGTGGGCGCCAGTGCCTCCTCTCCTCTAACCAGTTAGCACCTTCCTAATCAGCCACCAGTGCTCCACTCGGTCTGTTTTCCTGAGCTTCCCAAGTCCTTACACATGAAGGACTCTTGTGTCTGTATTTTCTTCTAAGAGTCTCTAGTTGTTTTATGCAGGTTTTCTTATTCCTTCAACTAAACTCCAAGTAGCCTAAGTACAGGGTCTTCACTTTTCATTCTCTATTCATCATCCTTATGGGCCCCTTGAAGTAGTGATGGACGTAACAGGGACCTCTCTATTGAACTGCTAAATGAAAAACAAATCAGGGATCTACTGCATACATGAAGTCCTTACTTGGCAGTGCTGATGAATTAAGCCTTGCTTTATCTTTGCACTGCACACAAGACTCCCCCAGGCATCGGTTGCAGACTGAAGATGTCCATGAGCTCTCGCTGTTCGCAGACATGCCATCAAAGCTCCCAGAGCCCCTCTACTATGATGAGACCCTAAGGATGGAAAAGATCGCTCATTTCGAAAGTGCAATAACAAAGCCCAGGATTGTGCTACGTAATGATAATAACCACAATTTTCATGTTTATAATAAAATTATATTTCAAAAATAAAAATCATATTTTAAACTGAATTCTAGCATAAGTTAAAGTTCCTATTATAAAATAATTATTTTAAACATTTAATGATTCTTGTGTCAATAATTTTAAATAAACATAATCCTCTTATTGTTAACCTTTTAAAAAATCATAATTTTTTGCTAGTATTCTTACTTTTTCCTTGCCTATTCAAAAACAAATTAGGAAAAAATCAGGTGGAGAAGTGTTTGAAACAATAAAAATAACTAAACTGACCTTTAGCCAAAAATAGGAAAAACACTCAGTGTTTCATTTCTCTAAAAACAAACACTGAACCTCCCTGAGCATCTCCCCCTAGTACAGAAGATAAAAGGAGAATCACAAAGAACATGATGCTCTCATAGGCTAGGACATCAGCCATTACTAAGGAGACAAGGAGCTCTGGCTCACAGGGCACCTTGATACGAAAACAAATCCTGCCCTGGCTGGTGTGGCTCAGTAGATTGAGTGCCAGCCTGAGAACCAAAGAGTCACTGGTTCAATTCCCAGTCAGGGTACATACCTGGGTGGCGGGCCAGGTCCCCAGTAGGGAGTGAAACATTGATGCCTCTCCTTCCCTTCCCTTCACTCTAAAATAAATAAAATCTTAAAAACAAACAAACAAATCCTGCCTTACTTCAGAACAGATTCATGAATACTGACCTTCAAATGGCTTCTCAAAAAGGTAAGAATAATTATTAAAATTATAAACAATGACTTACTTTTGTGTATAGGAATCAGACTTTTTACCTATCTTTTAAGCTACTCTTTGAAGTACTGAAAATTTTTAAATTATTTTAGTTGCAAATATTCTTAAAATGTAATGTAGGGTACCATATTCCTGCTTTGTTAAACAGAATATGATAACGTTAAGATCTGCATGATGAGTCAGAATCATAATTTTACATATTAATTACTATACTACCCTCTAATGCAGTGACTCCTTCGGGGTTACTGAGTTTGCATGGAATGTTTACCCCTATTCTAAATTATTATAGACAGCTATTTCTTAGGTCATGTCTCTAAATGTTTTGCCTCTTTCCCCAAGGCAAAAACTTGCCACTGCCAATTTACCTGTTTAACCTTGCCAAAATAGCTTTTAATTACTGTTTTGATCACTTCAATAAGCAAGTTATGTCAAACACACAAACTTTTACTCCAGTCTGACAACCAAATGACAAATGAGAACTTGGCAAAATAAATTAAAACCCAATACAGTAGTCACCCCTTATCCACAGTTCATTTTCTACAGTTCCATTTACCCACAGTCAACTGTGACCCAAAAATAGTATATGAAGAATTCCAGAAATAAATGAATCACAAGTTTTACACTGAGCACTGTTCTGAGTAGTGTGATGATGTCTCACATCGTCCCACTCTGTCCATCCCGAGACCTGAGTCATCCCTTTGTCTGGCATGTCCACACTGTACATGCTACTGACCGGTTGGTCACTTAGTGGACAACTCAGTTACGACTGCCACAGCATCCCAGTGCTGGTGCTACACAATCTTTATTTTACTTAATAATGGCCCCAAAGCAAAGGGTACCAATGCTGGCAATTCGGGTACACCAAAGGGAAGCCGTAAAGTGTTTACTTTAAGCAAAAAAAAAGTGAAAATCCCAACTTGATAAGAAAAAAGTAATTGTATGCTGGGGTTGCTAAAATCTATAGTAAAAACAACTCTAATATCTGTGAAATTGCCTAATTTATAAATTAAACTTTATCATAAGTATGCATGCAAAGAAAAAACATAGTATATATAGGGTTTGGTACCATCCATAGCTTCAGGTATCCATGGGAGTCTTTAAATGTACCCTCTGCACACAAGGAAGGACTACTATAATGAAATGTACCTCATAATCATAATTGGAATCAATCCTTAGCCTATAGAAATGACGTCAGCAAAAAGAACCTCTATTCAGCTGTGTGCAGTAACATTGGTTTCAATCTGAAATCCCTATTGTTAATATCCTACTTTACTATTTGCAGAAGTGATGACATTTAAATTTGAATATAGTCAGTATCTGCCTGGATAACGACACTTAAAAATCCTAACCAGAAATTACTAAAACACAAAAATCACCTTCTTACCAGTTTTAGCATCAGCAGAAGTCTGAAGAATCTTCACCATGTAGCTTAAACTTTCAGGGTTGCAATTCAATAATTTTGGCAAGTAATAATCAATCACGTAAGATTTTTGATCCAGACTTCCTTCACACAGTATGTGAAGGAGAGGAGAAACCCAAGTCTCATGCCACTTATCAACCCAAGTACTGTCGACAGCCTGAGATTTCAAATGACTCTTATGATTTTTAAACATGGTTTCTAAGAGGTCACTTGCATAAGGTACCAGTGACTGGTCCCCCATCACCTCTAAGATTTGCGATGGAATAGTTTTAGCTAATGCCAAAATACGTTCCACTCCTATGCAATCTACTAAACAACCAAGGCATATATACTTTCCCTTAATGTGCCATTCCAATCGCAGAAGACTCTGAGTCAGTTCAAAAGTGAAATGATCCGCAGCCAGATCTGACTGGTCTACCTCCGCCTCTGGGAGAGTGAGCTGGTGCATTCGGAGAATATTTCTGAATATGATTTTGTTTTGGTGTCTCAAAGCATCCAACGGATGTTCCCAGTGGGTATAGACATATTCCAGAAGTCTCTTAATTATGCTTGAATTCCCATTCAGACTGTCCTTTAGGCTTGGGGAACTTGATTCAAGAACATATATGGCTGAGTTAGTCCAAGACGCCAAAATTCTAGAGAGAAACATTTCCAGGGCTGATTCCTTGATCCTGAAGAAAAATGAACCATGTTATTATAAAGTGACTAGTAAAAGAAATTTCATTTTATAACTATTTAAACTTTAAAAATACAAAACACAAAGAATGATCAGAATATTTAATCACTACTAAATTTACAACAAAAAAAATCAGAAACAAGGCAAAAACAGATCTCAGACTTTTATATAAAATCTATTCATCTTGTGAAAGACAATCCAAAAAAGACACAGGAAACCTTTGAAGGTGATGAAAATGTTCATTATTTTGATTTTGATGATTGTTTCACAGGTATTTTACAATATACTGAGCAGCTAGGGTTGGAAAAAGTTAGTTGGAATGGGGTTTCTTTTGAGGGTAATGAAAATATTCTAAAGTAGATTGTAGTGATAATTGAACCTCCTGTGAATATACCAAAAAAAAAAAAAACCTCTGTAAATTATACCTCAATCTGTTATAAAATAACACAATGAAGAATAAATTTAAAAATATGTACAATTTAAAAATCCATATAAGCTGAAAAACATGTACGGTTTACTTTAGAACATTGCAGTTTTCTCCCTTTGTCTGCATGTTCATTGCTATGACACCGGGTCCGTGGTTTGATATGTTAAGCACATGAACACTTTCAGGCAAAATTATGGCAAAAACACTGAAAAGCATGAACTACAACCCAGTGAAGTCAAGAGACCTGGCTATAGTTCTGGCTCAGGTGCTTACTAGCAATATGCTCTTAGGCTAAAGCATTTATTTGCAACAAATTAGACAAACTCAACAAATTAGATTTCCTATCCTATTTATCAGACATGTGAAGATCACATTGAATTATCTATAATGAAGCTGTCCATATACTACAAAGCACTATATATATAGAATTTTTATAGTTTAAAAAAAATGCTAGCATCAGAAACTAAATATTAAAATTAATTTTAGAAATATTCACTATAGCCCTGACTAGTGCGGCTCAGTGGGCTGGGAGTCATCCTGCAAGCCAAAAGTTCACCGGTTCGATTCCCATCAGGACACATGCCTGGGTTGTTCACCAGGTATCCAGTTGGAGACATGCAGGAGGCAACTAATTGATGTTTCTCTCCCTCCCTCTCTCTAAAAATAAATAAATAATTTTTAAAAAAGAAATATTCACTACAGTTTAACCTGAACGAATAATTTCTGCAAGTTTCTCCCCTCATCCCATTTTTTCTTGCTCTACTTTTACATCTACCTCATTTCCTTCTAATTTAGGGTTATCCCGGCCGCTTTTCTCTGAATTACTGAGTGCGCTGGCTCACTGGCCAGCTTTTAAATGGCTGACAAGCAAAACACTTATGAGATGGTAGTATGGAAACTCACTGTGAACTCAAGGTGAACAAAACGCGCGCAGTGTCCAAGAGCAGGGCCTCCCCGCTCGGGCCCATGCGCCCACCCTGCCAGTCCAGCATGGTGAGTGCCCCCTGACACAGGAACAAGAGAGCTGCCTCGGACACGTCAGCACAGCAAAGGCTCCTGCAGGAGTTCAAAAACCACTCGGGGACGCCCGTGCAGTTCACGGAACGGAGAAGCACGCTACTGATCTGAAAACATACAACAGAGCTAATGCGCATAAAGCCTCTACAACTTTTCAGAGATATTTCAAAGTATAAATCCAAAATTATCTTTTCACCAAAACATCCCAAGAAAAGTAAATGAACCTAAAGCTAAAAAAGCCACAAGTGTTAAAATTATTATAATAGGGAAAAAATCTGAGTCCATGAACCATTTTGCTGGCAGAACACATCGCCACCTGCAGGTGGATGAGCTTAATTAATGCTTTTAAGAAATATCTAATAATTACTTTGTGTGATCTCAGAGAACGGTACATGTCTATTTTGCATAAAGTCAGGAAAAGAGCTAAAATAAGTTTCTAGATAACACAGTAAAGATGAAACTGCTAGCCCTGGCTAGTTTGGCTCAGTGGATTGAGTGCTGGCCTGTGAACCCAGGGGTTACCAGTTCAATTCCTGGTCAGGGAACATGCATGGGTTGGGGGCCAGGTCCCCAGTAGGGGGTACAGGAGGGGCAACCACACACTGATGTTTCTCTCCCTCTCTTTCTTCCTCTCTCTTTCTCTCTAAAAATAAATAATTAACTTTAAAATTAAAAAAAGAAGAAGAAACTGTTAGTAGTAAATATAAGGACTATAACCCAAATTATCAAATTATACTTTCCATAGACCAATTCAATGGAAAGTTGATTCTAGCATGCTTCCTCTCTAAAATACAATATTTGGGTTATTCTTAATAAAAAAATATATTTATCAAAACAGCACTATAAAAAACTAGAATATACATCAAAGAATGGTAATAATGATTCTTTTTGTGAGATAGATTTACAGATAACTGTTGTGTTCTATTTTACATACATTTTTAGAATTCCCTCACACATAAGAGAAAAGGTCATCAGAAGAGATTCTGACTATGCAAAAAAATTTTAATTCACTTCTTTAAAAATATTTTTAAAACGTGTCACACTATCAATAAAGTACAATTCTAAACAGGAGATGCACTCACCAAACCAGGAATCTTTTCAGGTGGATGAAACATAGCCTTAATGAAAAGAATAACAGCTAATCCAGATGTACTCTGAATTGTCCGTAAGAGGTCATCTATTCAGCAAAGAAGAAAACGACATGCATTAAAAACGATGGGTAGTCTGGTACAGTGGAAAGAACAGACACTGCAGGGAAGACAGTCTTGGGTGCAGTTTCCAGCTCGACTACTTGCTTGGGCAAGTTACTTTACCTCCCAAGCACTCAGCTGTCTTCAGTAAAACAGGAAAATATAACTCCTATCTGACAGTTCTTGTAAGGTTTAAATGAATAATGAACATAAAGGCTTTTATGCTCAACACATAGATACTGAATAAATTTGATTCCTTCCCCTCCCTACTAACATCCACTCTTCCTTCCTCTCTACCTTCAGCCTCCCGACACTTCTAGCACCAACACAGCCTGTACTCTCCCCTCCACCGATGCCTCTGCATCCCAACCCCTTACATTAGTTTTTCTTAGTGATTTCAGGGCTTTGTAAAGAGCCTGCATCAGTGCTAATTACAACCTCTGCTATAGTTGGCACTGTACTCAAACAATCTTGACTTACTATCTTCTTTTTGTTTTCTTTTAGCCTCTGGTTTGTCAGAAAGTATACTAAATAACATGGTGAATTATTTAGCCTGTTGAAGAACCTTAAAATACCTATTGTAAGTTACCTACTAATTATCCATTCCATTGTTTATCCACGTTAATAGAACTATAACTTTGATTGAGGCATCCATGTGTCCAGCCAAAGGCAAGGTCATTATTTCTGTAATTTTCCTTGCAATTAAAGGTAACCATAAGAGGGTTTGGGCCAAGAGGTATAAGCACAAAGCTCCTGGGCACTTTTCACTTTCCTGATTAAAAGTAACAATGCAACTGGTCCTCCTTCATGACTTAGAGACATGATGTCTGGAGCTACAGCAGTCACATGGCAACCATGAGGCAACAAACATATGGGTGAGAGCCAACATGGTTAAGATGGCAGAGCTGAAAGACAGAAACGTGTGGGCCCTAGTTTGTCTACTGTAGTTCTGGAACACCTGCTTCTGAACTTCTTGCTATGTGGGAAAGAAGGGAGGCACATTTGCTTAAGTCCCTGAGGTTCAGTTTTATGTTCCTTACAGCTACATACTTACTGATATACAAAGCTTTAAAATCCTGGAGCAAAGAACACTGATTAGGTGCCATCAACTTCCCAGAAAAGAGGCTGCTTGATATTAAAATCACGTCCTCTGCATTTCACCAATTAGTCAATTTTTTTAGATTTAACAAATTTCTCTTTTAAAAGCAAATATCCTCAGAAAAGATGTCTGTGAATTATGTTCATAATAACTTTATTTTCCTTTTAATACCTATCTGAGATCCTATGCAAGAGAAAAGGAAAGGCAGGCAGGCAGGCAAACTGGACAGTTTAGCTAGGACTTCAGTAGTTACCAAGGTTAAACACACAGAAACAATGAGATTACTATTTGTCTCCCATCAGCCTAGCAAAACCAGAGTCAGTTACTGTTCTTTACTAGTAAGAGCTCTTGAATAGATCCCATTAGTGTTTTTTAAAAATTGGGATATTATTCATCTATATACTAACATATAAAATGGGAGGTAAAGGATGACAAAATAATATAACTTTTTATGTGATACTAATGCGTTAAGTATCACTTTTTTAATAAAACAGAGATACAGAAAACCACCCAAAACAAATGCACAGCTCAGTGAATTATGACAAGGCAAATATCCTCGTACCCACCATCCACGGCAAGAAGCGGAACCCACATGTCCAGCCCCGAAGTCTCATCCCTGTGCCTCACCCCAACCACAAGCTCCTTCCTCTCACCCGAGTAACTGCTAACCTTTTAGAGTGATGACATCCTTAGTCTTTTCATAAACTGTTTTACCGATTAAGTGTGCAGTCCTAAATGCTACGGTTTAGTCTGGTCCATTGTTTAAACATTTGATATGTTCTAAGTGTCTTGTAATCTGCATGTGCCGCCTCCGCCCCTTTCCTTTTGTTAACAACTTTTCTGCTGAAGAACTCTGGCCTTCGGACCTGTGAAATTTCCCACGATCTGGATGTTGCCCTTGTCTACTCCTGGTGCAGTTCTACATGTCCCATGTCCTCGGTAATTCTTGTAAGTTGGCAGACGGCCTAGACACAGGGCCACGGCGTCTTGGGGACAGTCCCTCTGAGGAGACGACGGGTGGTGAACGCAAAGCCCTGAGGAGCGCATGCTGTCTGGCTGTTTCTGCACCCTCAGCAGCCCTCGGTGCTCGGTGCCCACAGCCACTCACCGGGGGTTACAAAATGGTGATATCCTAAGCCTACCACTTCACTGTAATTTATTCATTGAAATACTCTCATAAAAAGACGTCTTCTCATGAACTGTTTGTTTCCCCAGTGGTACAGTTCACGTGGACAGAAGCGACACCTGAGCGACGAAGAGCACAGTGCCCCGCCCCGCACTGACCATCCATCTGAAGATGGTACCTGCCGCTCAGGAGAAATACATGGATGGCACCTGCCTTGCACATCTCCCTTCCAAATTCAGAAATTCCTTTTCAGGAATTTTCTTTTGCTACTTAAAGTCCGTGGCTTTTCAACACTAAGATTGTTAGATTTTCTTCTTTGTATACAACACACACACATACACTTAGAAAAATCCTTCATCCTTATCCCTTGCTGAACTTGTGCACTTGAAAGAAAGTGTTAAAACCTTGTAACCCCAGGCCCTTCTCCACTGTGAGGGGCAGAGAGAGAAGTTCTACATCCCTGTTAAGTGTCATGTATGTCATACCATTATCAGCAAAAACTGAGTGACAATTATCCTTTGTATGTTTTTATACTTACCATCGTTCAAAAACCTGGTAAAAATACTCAGCAATTCACACATACACTGCCATGCGGGAGAACTGGAGATCGTCAAATGAGCGCTCTGGAGGCCTTGTGTTTTCTGCACTAACGTCACCGCAACTCGAACGCCTACCATCAAGTCATTCATCAACTGCGTTTGAACAATATGATTTCCAGCAAATTTTCTACAAGGAAGAAAAGACATTATTACAAAAAAAAGTAAAAAAAGATGTCACCATTTCTGTCCCTCTTCAAAAATAATACACTCCTCAATCACAGGGCCAAAAGCAACTTCAGATCACAACAGACATTTATTTATGCCTTTCTCTTCTATTCTCATAAACATTCCAATTATGTAGACATTTATCGGACACTTTAAATACTCGTACCTTACCTCAACATTTTCCTCTTCCTCAGCCAATAACTCACCTTTCTCTTTTTTAAGTAAAAATAGCAAATTAAAACAAGTAACACAATTGATAAATTTGAACACTCCCTCAAGCATGACACACCTCCTCCACATGGCTTCCACAGGGCTGGACTCTCCCAGACTCTCCTGCTTCACCACCGTTCTCCTCCAACACCTTGGCCAGGTCATCCCTTCCCCGAGCTCTTGATGGTAGAGCTCTCTGTGGCTCAGACTGCCGTCCTCCTCTCTTGTCCATCTAAGTCATGCCCTTGATGCTAATCTCATCTAACTCACTAGCTTTAAAATACAATCTATGCACTGACAATCCCCAAACTGTATCCCTGGCCCAGACCTCTCTTTCTACTTCTGGATTTGTATATGAAGCTTTCCACTCAATAACTTCACCTGGATGTCCAACAGGCACCGCAAACTGTGTGAACTTATCTTCAACTCCAATCTACTCCACCTGCTGGAATCTCTGTCCCACAAAAACTCTGTCATCATCCTTGACTCCTCTCCTCCTCATCCCATTCAGGTGGGTCTACCTTCCTTCAAAATACATGCAGAGTCAGAACTCCCACTGCCACTCCCGGCCTGAGCCACTCTCCTCTCTCCCTTGGATTACTACAACAGCCTCAGAACTGGTCTCCCAGCCTCTATCTGTGCTCCTCTCAGTCCATTCTCAACACAGCAGGACAGAGCGATAACATGAAATCATACGTCAGGGAAAACAGTTTGGTGGTTCCTCAAAAAGTTAAGCATAGAATTACCATATGATCTGGCACTCTACTCCTGGGTATACGACCAAAAGAATTGAAAATAGGGATTCAAACGAATCCTTGTTTACCTACCAATGTTCATAGCAGCATTACTCACATAAGTCAAAGGTAGAAATGACCCAAATGTCCATTAACAGATAAATGGATAAACAGATTGTGTTATATATTTACAATGGAATGTAATTCAGCTATAAAAAGGAATAAAATTCTGATATATGTTACAACATAGATTAACCTTTAAAATATTATCATCGATAAGCCAGACAAAAAGGGACAAATACTATATTCCATTTCTTTGAGGCACCTAGAATATGCAAATTCAAAGAGACAGAAAGAATAAACACAGGTTACCACGTGTTGTGAAAAGGGATAAAGACAGTGAATTTTCTTTTGGACACATTATATTTGAGGCATGTGTAAAATATCCTAGTTACAATGTCTAAGAGACAACTGACAATATAAATCTACTACTCAGGGCAGAGAGCTAGGTTGGAGTGATAAGTCTGTATATTCCAGCATGGAGATGATAGCTGACACTGAAGAAGTAGATGATATTAAGTAGTCAGAACAAGGAGAAGAGGGAGAACAAAACCCACATTTAAGAGATTAAAAAGAAGACAAAGGGAAAAAAAGGACAAAGAGCCTAAAAGGTGACAGAAAAGGAGCTCTTTCCTCTTAAGGCAAAAGGAGACCTTGGGCTAAAGAGGGTACAGATATTACTTCTACTCTTCCCCAGAACCTCCCTAAACCAACACACCAGGGATTTAAAACATAAAAAGACATAAATACACAAGAGCAACAAATAGACAATGAGACAATAATAAAACTGTATAAACTACAAAACAGATGGATAAGGGACAACTCACTTAGCAAAATCAAGAAAGATGACTACTAAGCCAGAGAACAAACCCAGCAGCAACCCAATTTGCAGGCCCAAAAGGCTAAGAAATTATGGGTACCAGGTACTCTTTGACAAGTAGGTAAGTAAATGTAGGGCTGAAAATAGGAAGACAGGCAACAAGTCAGTTGAAAAACTAAAAAAATGACACTGAATCATACCTTCAAGCCAGCAAACAACTGGTCTACCTCTAGGGAAGGTAAAACACCAGGCACCTGGACAGGAGGACAGCACACCCAGATAAGGTAGCAATACCATACGGCAAACAGGAGTATCAGGTAAAATATGCTCAGTGCCAAGAAAAGAGCTTTCAGACCCAGCAATCAAACTAGTAAACCAATGGTTTAGAAGGCTCTTCCATGGTGAATCCACTACCCATGCAAAAAGACCTAAGGATACTAACATCAGGCAGGGGTTCCCCAAAGAAAGAGCCTAGCTAAACTAACCCACAACCAAATGTGCAAACAAGCCCTGACCAGGTAGCTCAGTTGCTTAGAGCATCATCCCAGTACACCAAGGTTGCAGGTTTGATCCCCTGTAGGGGTACACATAGGAATCAACAAGTGAATGCATAAATAAGTGGAATGACAAAAATCATGTCTCTCTCACTCTCTCTAAAAATCAATCAATAAAAATTAAATTAATTTTAAAAGACCTGCAATCAACCACACCTATATGCACTGAGATTCAAATCAATCCTCAGTGCCCCATTCTTAAATGTAAGTGCTTGGACTGGGATCACCAAACTTCTCAGGAAAGAATCTAGCACAAATGTGGTGACCAACAGCAGCAAACAGGGAAAAGTTGCTTAACTTGAAAGAAACTGAGGCTATGTAAAATTTTTTAAAAAATTTAAAAAACTGTCATTATTATCTTAAGAGAGATAACAGAGTACTTCATCCACAAAATAAGAACAGGATGCTACAAAAAAGGAAACTTCAGGTAGAGGAAAGAGCTCTTCCCGTTCTCATTTATTCTCATAATACTTCATTTGATTTAAAAAAATTAAATATCAAACCTCTAAGAAATCAATTTATATAATTAGATCTAACATTAATGAAGCAGCACAGAAAGAAGCACATTGCAGAACTTTTTAAAAACTTCCTCTGTACAGAGACATGTACAATAATGACAAGTAAGCACAGGTATGCCAACACGTAACACTTGCCTATTTTCTTCTGAGATTTCAATTAAACTCTTCTGTAGAAAATGAAGCACTGAAACAAAAAGAATATAATGACAAGCCAGAACTTAAAAACTGTAAACTTTAACTTCTGCACAAGAAAATATTTTAAGTCACTGTTACCTACAATGATATCATAGTAGAGAAGTAGAAATTTAAAAGGAACATAATGTATCTGCAGTACTCTACCTACCTACTGCCAAGAAACTTAAAAGAACTGGTTCCAAAATGACTCATACAAGCAGTTACCTCTCAGAATAAAATAATAGGACTTACCATTTTCAAGAAGATTATTAACACTTGTTATACCTGTGGGAGAAAAAATTAATAACACTGGTAAGAAGTTTTGGGACCAAAATTAATATCATTTCAAAACAATGATGTAATGACAGGGGTTGGCCAGAAAAAATACTAGAAAAGAGCTGGCTTACCCAAGTTAAAGTTCTCCATACATGAAGATATATTGTCAATTACTTTCCTATAAGAGTATAGATCAGTAGTATTCAACTCTTCCTGAAGACGAGAAGTAAAACTTTGTATGGCCTCGGTTAGAAAAAATTCAGGTAGGCAATTTAGTGAGCTAGGAAAAAAAGCAGATATTAAAATTCTTGACAACTGTGTAGTACAAGGAGGGAGAGAACTCACTACAAATGAAGGAATATTGTACTAGACCTTCAAAATACTGCCAGAAAATAACTTACACCATCCTCAACAGAACAGCCAAAGTGGTAAGACCAAAACACCACGTTTTTCCTCCACCTAAAATGATCCAGTAATGTCCCTCCCAGTCAAAGTAGCAGCCAAAGTGCTTACGCTGACTTAGGTGACACTGGATCTGGCCCCACCATCACCTCTCACCTTGATCTTTGTTCACTAACTCTAGCTACACAGCCTGCCCTTGTTCCAACGACATGCCAACGCCTTTGCTCGTGCTATTTCCTCCACCTGGAACACCTTTCCCTCAAATATACCCAATAATCATTTCCTCACCCCTTTGGGGTCAATTTCGAATATCACCCTATCAGTAACAATTGAACAAAGACATCTAATGTGACCATTATGTTTTAAACTGCAGCCCTCACCCTATCCTTGGGTCACCCTCTCCCTTTGCTTTATTTTTCTGCTTTACTTTCTCCATAGCACTCATACCATTTAATCCTATATATTTGCTTCTTTATTTTGTATATTTTCTATCTTCCTCTTACAATGTAACCTCTATTCCAGATTGTCTGATTCACTGTATTTCCAGTACCTAGGAGAATACCTGACACATAGCAGGTAGTCAGTAAAAATTTATTGAATGGATAAATTAATTTTACATCAAGTAATCTAAATCAAAACCAGTAGGCATTTTTTAAAAATATGGCTAAATTGCCCTGGCTGGTGTAACTCAGTGGACTGAGTACAGGCCTGTGAAGCAAAGGGTCACAGGTTCGATTCCCAGTCAGGGCATATGCCTGGGTTGCAGGCCAGGTCCCTGTAGGGGACACATGAGAGGCAACCACACATTGATGTTTCTCTCCCACTCTTTCTCCTTCCCTTCCCCTTTCTCTAAAAATAAATAAATATAATATCTTTTTTAAAATATGACTAAACTATTCTAAAGTTTTTTAAAAGAAAAAATAAAAAATGGAAATATTTTGAAAAAGAAAAGCCACAGAAGAGATGACGTGCTCTAACATATAATAAAACCACATAATCAAAACACATTCCCACTTTTATAGTGAATAAAAGTGTGACATTGGTGTATAAACAAAGAGTCCCAAGCCTAAAACCAAACCAGAGAAAGAACTTTTAATATTGGTTACTTTTAATCAAACTGAACATTTACAATGCCCACTTCCCTTTCTTTTTCTCCTTACCTTGCCAAGACTTTCTTCAAGGGATTCTTTAGACTCAAAGAAAGGTAAACGCCTGCCAAAATATCCAAGCAGCTTCTAATAGTGGCATTGCACGTGCCATTTTTATCTGCCTCCTCCAGTAAAGGCACAATCTATAACCCCAAAAATTTAGTTATAGTGATTTTTCTCTGACATCAAGCATAACAAAGTAACATGGATTCAAATACTTCTTAATTCTCGAGTATAGTGTGAAATATTTTCCACACTGCACTGTTCAGGATACTGACTTAAACACCTACTTCAGTATTTATTAACCTTTTTAACACATGCCCCCAACTTCCACTTTACCCTCCAAACCCACTTTCATTGAGAATTAAAGACCTGTCAGTGGCTTAAGGTATAGGAATCCTGTAGCACTACTGAAAAACCAACAATGCATTTATTTAATTGCTTTCCAAAAAATATTATGCAAGTTCAAACAGTAAATCCTAATATTGAAATACTACTAAGGGAAATCTTTATACTTTAATGTTTTAATGGGCTTGCTAAAAAGTTTTGAACATTGGGATTAATAGAAATAATCTTGTAAGTATCTCCACAAAAGGCTGGTGCAGTTATCTCACTATTATAACTATTCACAGCTCCAACGGTGGCAGAAGCCTCAATATGGCTTCTATTGCTATTTTGAATAAAAAATATTATACAATAAACAGAAAGAAAAACCTATTCTTTCATGATACATTGATATTAAATAACTGGAGTCAAACATTATCAATGAATTTCAAAAGTCTGTAACAGCATAATCGTCTTTGAGATGCACCCACTGATATCAATTCAGCCTTACCTGTTTAACACAATGAATCTGCGACACCCCGTCAGTGAGCTGTACACAACGTAACAGCAAAGAAGCTAGATTTTTCCCTTCCGCATCAGCCAAAGCTACATAACACACACACAAAAGTTTTCTTCAGTGATTTAACAATATATGGATATGAGTTTGCCTTTGTTACGTATTCTACGAAATTTAAATATTTATAACCCCCCCAAAACAGGCAGAACTTAGACTGAAGTAGAATTTTAAAACCATTTTACATCCAAAGCAAATATAAAGAATACTGAAAAAATAAATGGCAAACGTTTGAACACTAGGTCACATGAAGTCCCAGAGATGAAAATAATCTATTTGCAATCTACAAAAGGAATAAAGTCAGAAATCACTTACATCTCAAAGTTTCAAGGTCCTGGTGGCAAATGGTCAATGCAGTAACTTGTATTTCTTTCTTCTTCTTCTTTACAACCATTCTGAATTGTAGTCACTGCAAGAAAGAAGAGTTTAAGGCCTTGTTTAATGCAAGGTTCCTGAACCTCAGCACTACTGACATTTTGGACCAGATATTTCTTTGCTGTTCGGTTGCTGTGCTGAGCACCGCAGGATGAATACTGCATCCCTGGCCTCTACCCACTGGATGCCAGTAGCATCTTCCTCCTACCAAGTTGTGACAACCAAAAAAAAATATCTACAGAAACTGCCTAACATCCCCTGCGGAGCAAAGTTGCTACAGGTTGAGAACCACTGGTCTAAGGCTTTCTGCTCTGAAAAACCTTTTAATCCCCAGAAGAGTTTATTATTATCTAAACTCTAAAGTTACTTTTGCCTACTATAAGCCAGTCTTTGTATTTTAAAGTACAGCAAACCTTCATTTTAGTAATAGCAAAAGAAAACAACGTGGTTTTTCCAAAAATAAAGTGTTTCCAACCAACCTCAGTAATTTCTTAGATGGACAGATCAGCAGGTGTCATAACACACTACACCCTGATTTCTACAAAGTACTTGACAAGCTTTTGCATACTATACTTGTGGGTTTGCTTTTAGTTTAAAAACAGAGTTTGTTTTAGTCAACAGGGTTCATAATGGACTGAACAAATGCACTTGAAAAATACACACTAATAGTACCAGGCCATCTGGAGGGAAGTTACTATGGGGAAATGCCACAAAGGGCTCTTTTCTTGGTGCACTTAGCATTTTTAGCAGTGTATATCATGCAAGCATTGGAGGACATAACAGTGAAAATATAAAAGAATTTATGTTAATTTATAGAAGACACAGTGCTGGGGGGACATGTTGTATAATGGGATCAGGACTAAAAAACAGCCCAATGAACTAGAATAAACTTACCAAGATGAAATAGAAATAAATGTAAAGTGCTGCATTTAGACTAGGAAAACATAATATAGAAATACAGGATCAGGGAAGGGCAAGGTAAAATGCAATTTAAAACAGCTCAACATGTGGTCTGAAACAGCTCAGTGTGAGTCAACAGCCCAACAGGATTGCTAAAAAGCACATTAGAAGTCAAGTAGATTAAGGGCATGCATGATCCCTTGGTCATCCCAGAGGTCAGGTGACATGTGGAGCATTAAGGGCAGTGATGGTGGCCATATCTTAAGGATCCATATAATAAATGAGAGAGCTTCCAAGGACCAACCTGACTTCTGAAGGACCTAGAAAGCACCTCCTTCAGAAAAAAACTTAATTAACCAAAGGAGGCCTGGAGAAAGGTTAGAACAAATGCTTTAAATGGCTGCTGGACTGATTAGGAGAAAAGGGGAGTAGATGTCTTCTCATAAGATTAGGAAAAAGTACAAGCTTCAGGGACACAGATTCCAGCTCAATGCAAAGGAAGAACTGCATGTTCCAACTCCAGAATGAGCTGCCTTTTAACCAGAGAATTCCTAACACGAGAAATATCCAACAAGAAGCTGAATGAACCCTTTTCATTGGAAAAACAGCCTCCTAACTGGTCTCTTCATGTCCACCCTTGTTTCCAAAGAGTCCATTCTCTTCACAATCATCCAAACAATCTTTTAAAAACTCTAATCAAATCTAACTACTCTCTTGGGCTTCCCAAGGGCTTCCAATTACTCTTAGAATAAAATCCAAACTTGAGACTTTGGCCTTCAAGGCCCAAAATAATCTGGCCCTAACTTTCCCTGCACTTCATTTCAAATTAATCCTCTCTTCACCTTCTCAGGTGTCAGCTCTTCCTGATGTTCTTATTCCCACCTAAGGGGTTTCCCACAGCCTGATAATGGTCATTCCATCAGATCCTTACAAGGCTGACTCCTTTGGGTCTCTTCTAGGAAAACCCCTCTGAAACAGCTTTGACCACTTTAATCTAAAATGCCACCATTCCTACTCACGTACACACCGTTTCCATTACTTTTTCTTCATAGCACTTACTACTACCTGAAATTACACTGACTTATTATCAGTATATTGTCTGTGACCCCTAGTAGTAAACTCCATAAAGGCGCAACTTCGATCTAGTTTGTCCACTGTTTTAATTCTCAGTTCCAAAAACAGTACCTGTGCATATTAGGTACTTAGTAAATATTAGGTGAATAAACACATGAATGAATTAACAAACATTTGTCAGAGATGTTCTAGAAGGGATGTGTGCCTTTAATGGCAGAAGGGTGGCCTACCTAGTATCTAAAATTTATTCTATATGTGAGTAACAAGTTAGTCCAGACGCTGATAAACTATGGTCCATCTGCCAAATAAAACATCAATATAGCGATGGTATGTGAAAAACCACTTAGCAGAAAATAATAACAAAAATGGACACAACTAGAAAGGCTTAGACAAGGGAAAGAATTTGAAAAGTGACATGATTAGATCTAGGGAAATAATTGGGGATCACTTCCTGGGGAAACTACCATTGTACATAGTTTAGAAGAGGCAGAGACAGAAAACTGCAGATTCCCTGGTGAATGGTGAGCAAGATTCCAGCAGGATTTAATACTGGAAACTGCGAGACTACACACTCATAAAAAGTGCGGTGCTTATACGTGTTCAATGGATGTCCAAACGTTTGTCCTGATGAACGCTGTAGGCCTCCCCAGTAGGGGAAAACCCCATGCCCAACGCTGTGCACAGCTTAAGTGGCCAGAAGATGCTCAGGAAATTATACTCCTAGATTCCCCTGGCTGCTTCCCTTTCCAACGGTACCTCACTCCATCTACACCTTTCTGACTAACTTCTACAAACATTCTCTAGGCAGTTTTCGAATTATGGGAATCCATGCTATGACAGGTGAAAAAAAAATCGGTTAAAATGCTGTCTCCAAGGAGACCTAAGCGACCGGAAATCGGTTTCACAACACCAAATTCTCGCGAGGCTAAAGGACTGGGAATTGGTATGAACCCCCCAGCAGCCCCTAACGCAGTGGCCGAGCCCAGCGATGGGGAGTCACGCGCACCGGCGGGTATGGCAGATGGGATGCTTGAGAGCCAAACCTCGTGCCCGCGGGCGTTGGAGAAGAGTCGCAGCCGTCCAGATGAGTCCCAGGAACTATTACAGTTCTACGATATCGCGGTGGCTCTCAAAGTGGTCTTCTATCGACTACCGGGTCGCTGCGTTGGGAGCGAAGCTTGAGAACTTGTAGGAGGAGTCATCGCGAGATTTGAGCTAATGCAATCCTCCATTCAAGAGTCCGGAAAGGTCGTGATGTCACCGGGGAACGGGTGGGGGAGAGTGGATTTGGTTAGACTGCCACTTGAAAGTGTGCGCGGTCCCTCTTTACATCCCTTCTAACCCAGCCGGTTGGAAGTCCGCCCATCTCTGACTCCTTAGGACAGTTTAAATTATGGCCTCCACACATCTGCGTGCGTGGGAAACTCGTTTTCCTCCCCGCAAACACTCCACTTTTCCCCATTCGGCTTGCCTGGCGCGGAGTCAGGGAGAAAACCGCAACCAGGTCTCCGGAGCGCAGAGCCTAACAATATCAAAGCCTGCACCAGAGGGTAGGAGGTGGGGCAGGCTTTGAACCGAAGCCACAATAAGAATTTTGACGGAAATCGAGAAGTATGAACGCTAACGTACGCCAAAGTGCATTGATTCATTCAGCAACAAGATAATGAGCGCTATTGTTGGATCGTAGCTAAACGTTTGCCTTGGAAGTTGCCCACTAATTAGAATGTATATTACACAGATAATGCAGATTGTCAAATGATTCTGACCTTTAAAAATTAATTAATTAATTAACTAAGTATCGAACACTACCCTAGGGGCTGGGACGGGGAAAGGTCAGGAAATAGACCCGGGTTCTTTATTCAAGTGCATTTAATTTGGCAAATGAACTGAGAAAGATAACAGTTCCCCAAACCTTCCGTCACAGGGATGGCCTTAATTTATCATTACTTTTCTGAACTTTACTTCACCATCCCTTGTTTTTCTTTGCAGATTTGCCCCAGGTGTATGTATCACTATAGAATATTTCATTTTGTTTGGTATTAAGCTTTATTGATGGAATTGCTTTCTCTGGCACTTTGCTTCCCTCAGTATTGCTTTTGGCATTTCATCCACAGAAAAGCAAGTCTCTGTGTTTCTTTCATTCTGCTGTTATCTAATATACCATTGTGTAGTATTCCACATTCATGTACCCCTTCTTCTCCTTTGGAGATTTGGATTGTTCCCAGTGTTTGCTCTAAGAACAGTGCTGTGAACTTTGTTGTGTATTTCAGCTGATGAATGTACAGAACTTTCTCTACAGTTTTGTTTTTGTATTATTTTTGACCAGATCTAATACATTGTACCTTGCACCAAGTACACATAAATATTTGCATATGTGTATATAACTTTTGTTTTGGCAAAGGCAGCAAAGTTAAGCTCCAGAAGCTGGTTCTGTGTTTGTCAACAAATTATTTAGTACAGGTTCACTGTGGAATTACAATCATTTCACAAGCCAATAGCATACAAGATAACATCTTTTAGTAAGCCAACTAAAGAAAAAATAAAATACTCCAAATGCATGGCAGATTAATCACACTATTGATCCAGGCAAGGGGAGATGAAGGGAAAAAAACTCAACTTTAATATGAGGTGTACCTTTTTATACAAGGTAGCACTCCAGGAAAGAAGGCAGCCAACCAAGAGCTGATCTCAAATTGCCAGGGCAAAAGAGCTTCATGTGGTAGGCTAAACAAAGTCTCCGCAAAGATGTGCATGCAGTAATCCTAGGACCTGTGAATATGTTTTCTTATTTGAGAATAGGGACTTAGGGGACCCCCAACACAAGGAGAGAATTTGGAATTTAGGCTGTGGTCCTTGGTTTGGGGGTGGATCACTGGGTGCTTGGCTCAGTCCATGCTTTTAACCAGATTTGAACAGAAGGATGGTCAATTGGCCAAAGTCAAAGTGGGTGAAGTAGGTTTTGTGTGTCATGTGATCCCCTAAGCTCCTAACTTCAATACAGCGCAAACTCCTTCCCTTGTAGGGCCACAGTGCCCCTCTCTAAGTTGTATTTCTCTAGCACCTGAGTGATTGGTGAGCTGTCTGCACAACCTCAACACATCCACATGTAGTTCTGATGGATCAGGGGCCAGCCGACAGCTAGTCTCTTGGGGTGATGTTAGTGCAACTTAAGCCAGGTGGGAGCTGCCCCTGCTACCCTAGCCCAGGCCTGGACCAAACTATCTTGGTCCTCTTCTTACGGTGGCACACTGGTGTAGGAATGAGTAAATTCAGGCAGTGAAGTGACCATCTCATAGCAGTGTGAAAGATTCATCCAAACTCAGCTACTTCTTCCTGTTCTCACGGCACAAACAAGTAAGAAGGGTAGGGGTTGAGAATTCTTGGAAGAAACAAATCATACTGTCCACACCTCAGAATGCAGGAAACTTTTGTGCTCTTCCAGGAGGACAAACTTCAGAGGGCCTTAGACTGGCGCGTGTGTGTGTCAGGATGTTCTCTTGCAGACCATCATTCACACTGGTCCCTCCAGCAAAGTTTCTACACCTGCAGGACCCCATCCTTGCCCCCACACCCAGAGCTGGCCTAAACTAGGGAGGAACCCATGTGGTCCCCCCTCTCACCCCCACTGATTTTTATTTACTCCTCACAACAGACCTGTGAAGTGTGCAGGACTGGGATTCTCACTTTACTGATGAAACAGGTCCAAATGGAGCAAGTGGCTGGTGTGCGGTGGTTCTGATGCTTACTTAGTTCAGGGCTCTTTCCATTATATTCCAAACTCCTTTTAAATGCAAACGAGGAGAGGTGTGTGGTGACACTTTCCTACAAAATGAAACAATGCCATAATTATGAGAGCTTAGGAATTAACGGTACTAAATGGGTTTGATGTTAAATTCTGAAGTGGGTGATCTAGGGTCAGAGGGTGACTTTCCAAGTGTCACCTCTGCCATCTGGTGGTCAAGTAACTATAACTAAAACAACTGGTGCTGATATTGTCACCATATAATCGTTACACATGACCCCGAGGCAAGGCAAATGATTTGAGTGTGAGCTCTGACTTACAGGCTCTAATGTGACAAAATAAAATGTTAAATATACAAATAGAAGTCAGAGGTTTTACACAATTAGTTTTGCTTGGGGTAAGAAACCTCAGTTCACAAGAGAGGAATCCCCTTCCCCATTTATTCAACAAATATTTATTAAACATTGTCATAAGTTGGTTCCCCAGGAAATGGATTCTAGGCAGAGATTTGTGTGAGGGACAGTTACTGGGGAGTACTCTTGAGAATAACCCTGTAAGAGCTTGAGATAAACAACTGGTCAGATGGGGCAGAGTTGGGATGTATTTGCCACAGAGGCCTTAGCCTGTCCTGCTGGGAGCTCTGGGGTTGGCTTGGCAAGGGACAGAGCCTGTGTCCTGCATCACCCAGTTACAGGATCAGACAGTGAGCCATAGCAGCTGACACTGTCAGCACCCTCGGGAATGAGTGCCTGGTCCTAAAGGGGGGGTCCAGGCAACACATCACAGCATCCATTACAGACCCCTCCTGTGTTCTGGGCCCTGGGCCGTGGTCTAAGGATACGATGTGGAGAAACACACCGTCACTGTCCTCAAAGCTACCCAAAGGTGCAGAGTGAAAGAATCAACACACCAACAAATGTTTACTATTTCTAGGAAATAGAAAATTACACTTACAGCTAGAAAGTGTATTTCATCAGCTGGAACAACAAAGAAAAATCCATACCTTTTATGGATAGCAATAAAAAAGGTTAAAAATATTTAGGTGAAAAGTGAATTTGCTCTCTGCTAGTGTAAAATTGGAGAAGGAAAATATCCATCCAGAAATAGCGCTAAGGAAACTTGCCTATGAAATGTAAGCAAAGCCGTGGGAGATTACTCTGGTATTCATCTGTAATGTACTGTGGATCCGCCCTTCAGCCCTCCCCCACAATAGGCGACAGGGCTTTCCCTCTGTTTGGGCACCTGCCCAGGTGTTCTCGGCTCTTGGAACGGAGGGCTGGCTGCCTGTAGGCAGGGGCATGCTGGATGCTGGTCTTCGGTTTTCCCCGGAGAGAGCACCAGGTGGAGCAGGGTGGTCTCGGTGCTGATTCTGCTCCCATTGTCCCAGCCATCCCGTCCTCTACATCTGTTTGTCTCTCCTCTTTCTCCATCTGTGGAATCTTTATTTCACTTCAGAAAAATATACTTGGACTTGCCTGTTATCCCTGCCTGCTACTTATACCTTGAGCCTTTAGGGCTTATATATTTGAAATGCATAGAACTTTCTCTGCCACGAATTTCAGAAAAATCATGTGGGACTGAAGCCCAAAATTGCCTTCCTTATCCCTGGTTTAGCTGAGGCAGGAGAGACGGAATTACGCCAGCTGTCTGGGTGGGGCAGAGGACCACCACGGAGGTACCTGTTGACAGTTCTAAAATCTCTTCAGAGCTTCAGATACGAGCCTTCAAAAGAATATCTCATCTGGATGCCCTCCTTCAAACTCCTGTCTCTTTTTGGTTCGCTTCCACCTGAGTTTCCTCCTGATTTCTCTATACCAGTTTATGACCTAATCAAGCAAAAACTCCGAGGGCCTTTCTTTCCTTCAAACTCCCCTTCCTCCCAGCTGACTAAATCATCAAGTTCAAGGTAGTTCCATATTTTCTGTCACTACCCCAATTCAAGACACTGCTAACCACCCCCTTACTTGTCCCTGTAGAGCAGAGTATCTCAACCTCAGCACTGCTGCTAGATCACTGCTGGTTGTGGGTGCTGCCCTGTGCATGGCAGGGTGTTTAGCAGCGGCCCTGGCCAACACCCACTAGATGTCAGTAGCACCCCTTAGTCGTGCCAGTCAAAACTGTCTCCAGACCAGAACTACGCTGAGCCAAACAGGGACCTGAGGCAGAAGAAAATATGTGTATCCTACATCCACTTACCAAAGTGTGCTCTTGTATTTTGAACCAAATGTAAAAGTTAATGAAAGATCTACAACAATGACAAAAAGAATGGATGCACTCTGTGCTGATGTAACATTTGAAAGGCTAAAAAAATAAAGACACTCACAAACCACTCTAGAGAAACTTTGCAGGGCATAGTACCAAATGAAAATATAGGGCCTCTTCTTCAAAAATGATGAAGAATTTCAAGATAGTGACAGGAGGGTATTAAAGCAAGTGTGGGGCCCTTCTAAGCGTGGGGTCCTTCCGAATGCGGGGCCCTGTCCAACTGCCTGGGCCTCACTCCCGTGAAGTAGCCCTGGAGCCCGCGTTACCAACCTGCCTGATGGGCAACGTGACAGCCCTGTGGCCCTGGGAACCGTAGGCTGATTGGAAGCTTCTGCTCCCATTGCACAGTCACACCAAGCCCTGAAACAAACAATGTGGGGATTTGGGGCATTCATTATCTTGTTTACTGATAAACATTATTTTTTTTTGCTGAGGTTTTAGCACCCTCTTAAGTTTTGCCCCGAGATGAGTTCTTTTTTGATCTGAGCCCTGCTCTAGACTTTGTCAAATGTTCCCTGTGCCGGTTTAGAGAAGTGGCTGTCACACGTTGGCCTGTGTCACAGCCACCTGGAGGACTAGCTAAAACGGACTGGTGGGCCTCCCTCCCAGAATTTCTGATTCAGGAGGTCTGGGGTGGAGTCTGAGAATCTGCATGTCTAGGTCTGCAGGGAATGCTAAATAAAACTGCTGCTCCAGAGCACATCAAGAACCACTGCTTTAGAACAACGTTGTGCCAGTGAGGATGACAGTTCCAAAATACAAAGAACTGCTCTGCTTAACTCCTCCCACGGAATACAACAGACACTTCG